ATAATACTTCCTTATTTTTTTTTATTTTAATTAAATTAATTTAAAATAATACCTTAATTTTTTTTTTTTAAAGTACCTGTAACCTTTACATCACTTCTAAAGTCATTACGCTAAAAATTTGTATATTTCGAAATCAATATCTAAATTAAATTAATTTTACTAATGGACATTATTGTTAATTCGTTACTTTCTCAAATTTGTATCAGCTAGAATATATACTTGTATGTTTCAGGTATGAATCTAAAATACCTTAAAATTATAATGTTATTGATGTATAATAACATTAATAACATATCATATTTAAATATAATTTATAAACACGTGTTTTTCGTTTTATATAAATTTTACGATTAACATTATATTAACTAAAATGACTTGTAAACAACGTTTAACAAATTTTTCATTTACTAATTTATTATTTTATTTATAAATTTATAATATAAGTTAATAAATAAATTTATTGTATAAGTATATTGGCTTAATATTCATTGATTAATGACTATGTAGACATATAGTCGAATAGATATAAGATATAATAATATATAGGTTCAAGTACCTACAATCACCTACCTACTACTTCAATTAATTTAAAAATAGTATAAATATTGAATTGTGTATAATCATTGAATTATGCGTTTGAACATTTAGGTTTTAAAATCATACAAGGGAAAAACAAATAAATTTTTTTTAGTATTACTACATTTGTATTTATGAATTTTATAGGTTATCTGTTTAAAATACTAAGTTATTAGGTTGAAAGATATTTGAAGGAATTCAAATAGTATAATTTTTTTAGAATTTTCACATACTTTTTAATGTCTACAACAATAAACTGAATAAACACTCTATAATTATTATAAATTGATGATTTTTATATAAGTTTAATTATTATAAATCAATTGTATTCGTAATTTTTAGACGGATGCTTTATTTCAATTTTTTTAACACATCCTACGTAATATGTACCTATGTATATTATAGTAATATATATTTTGTATCTATTCCTACATGACTCGTATTCGCAGTACCTAGTACGCAATACATAATATATAAATATTAATTATTACTTATTACTATAGAAGTTATCGGTTTATATTATTAATAGTTGATACTCGATAAAAGGGCATACGTACGTCTACCAGGAAACAGTATTGCCTATAAGTTATAACTTGCCATATATTTATTGTCATATATGGCGTACACATGTTTGTATTAATTAATAGTAGCAATATTATAAAATCTACACTACTGGTTTCACCCATCACGTATTAAATTAGTGTGCAGCTGTTTTTTATAAAGTAGATTAGTAGTTAAAAAAATATAAAAATATAAAAATACAATCAAATAAAAAATAAAAACCATAAAAAGTTGTAAGCATATGAAAAATTAGTAAATGGTTAACGAATATTTTTTATAATTGAATCAAACCGTTTTACATTTTGTAAATGATAGTAAAAATTTTCCGAAACACGCTCGATACGCCATGTATTATCATTAAATCACATTGTTTCTACCTTATTTATTCCAAATGTATCGTATACATATTTAGGGAAATACCAAAAATGTACAATAATAAGATTCGTAGGTGTACCTACCTACTGTATGCCTATATATTTGGTGAGTACACTGCACACACTCCTTAAAGTACAATGGTCGGTGTCATAAAATACTAAAATATAGGTTAAGTTTTAGTGTACTTTAATACGTTTGAGAACTATTTTTGCCAATATTGTAAGAAATTGTAACGCGTTTGGATGGTGCAATAGTCTATATACTAAATATAAATGTAAGTTTTTATGTACGTAAAGTCTACATTTTTTATGTAAATTATTCATAACTATAAAAGTTTATAAGTTAGAAATCATTTATTATAAACATGAAATAAATATAAAAAGCCATAAACGCATTAAGTCAACGTTGGTGTACAAACTTTAACGATATAAATCGAAAAATGCCGTGAACCTGATATACGCGTAACTGTTATCCGGAACTTTCTACGATTATTATTGTAGTGGATTACGATTAACCGTGTGATAAACCGTGATATCACAAAAAATACCGAAAGCTCATCTATAATTTTCAAACATTTTTTTAATTATTATAATATTTCATTGGTTATTATACAAATTTAAGGAGATATATTTTTTACATGCCTATTTGAATTATCATAAATATTATTATTTATTAGTATTTACCTATTACAATATGTACCTATTTACGAGTAACGTATGTTTTTAGTGTTATATTCACCACTAGTCCACTCTGCTTAATGTTTGTACTATTCCAGCACATTACTGGACACTGTTGACTTTATACTTTGTACCAATACCCGAGATGGGACGCAATAAGTGCCGACGTACACATTCGCTTAGTTACCCTCTTATCACAGTAAATGTGTGCCAAATCTGCTTTGTAGTCTTTGTACACTCATTTTTTCCAACCTTTCCACAGATATGATGGAGAGGCCTGTGACTCTAAATGAATATGAAGAATCGTATAAAGTATTCAACAAGTTTATAGCAGAGGATATAATATCCGTCAAAGATGGTGAAGAGCGTGTCAGACAACTTGTGAAATGACGGCTCTAATAGAGCTAGACACACTATACCGCTATCACGATATTGTCGGAGGTGCCATCAACTAAGTCTCTTCATCCCTTTTCCCAATGCACCACAGATGAAACGACGATTACGGCAGATCCACTTTTCTTTGTAAGAGACTCGTCCCATCTTTACTTTATTAAATCATACACTCATACGTATAAATATATTTTAGATGTAGACTCCGGATACTATAGATCACGTATTGTAATGATTTATGAAGATAATTTTGTATAATTCTCTTGTTATTGTTATGCAATAAATAATGTACTCCCACTGAGATGGAAGTAATATTACCGTGATTTCTGCCTCAGCCGTGATACTCCAAAACAAAAAATAAAATAATATCTCTATATTGTATAAAGTAACTAGTATTACATATTTATGCATGCTACACGTAGTTTATATACTTTTTATTTTATAATGTCAAAATGTGGTGTCTTTTTAAGGGTATCAAGTGCCCAAACGTTGTATGGATTTTGAATGTCAAACAAGTAAAATTTTTCGACCGTTTATCGTTGAAAGTTATAACTTATTATTTAACTATGGCTAATTATGCGTTATAACTAAATTTATGATTTTAAAGAAATATTTTACCTCAAAATATTTTTTTTATTTTAAATATATCAAATAAAATTGATCTATAATACAATTTTATCGGACCGCAGCAACTCATGATACATTGCAAATATTGGTAGTTAGACATCTGTACATAACTCTGTTTTATAAAATATATTTTATTTTTAATATTGACTAATATAATTATTACAAATATATTTATAAAATAACTAATTCATTTTTTTTAAATTTAATTGGGAATTTGGAATTAAAACTTTAAATATTAGGTATATACCTGCTCTAGTAGATAATATCATGTTATGTGTATATAAATATATATTCTGATTTTGTGTGGAATGGTAAACAGCCTTTGTTATTTTTAAAAAAGTCACCAGATATATAAATCATAAGTTTGTAGTTACAGTACTATTGTACTAAGTATACAATGTTGGGATTATACTATATGTTATATACTTGCATTATAAACTTTAAGTGGTATTTAAAGTACCTACCAATCAAGAACAGAATTAGATACGTGTAAGACATAAAATATATTGAATGCGTTTAAAAATACCTATCTATAGAAAAAATTAAAGTATATGAAATTGTATTTGCCATATTTTAAGGATTTGATTTTGTTTAAACGTGTTTATGGTTTCTTTTCTTTTTTTTAATATTGATCGGTATTGTAAGTACCGATATAATTTTGTTTTTAAAGTTTCACCGTGAGCATATTCGTTTTGAGCATCGTATCGAAAGACAACGGTACCTAAACGTTATCGAACTGCGCTGTTCTTTTATCCGTAAACTCGTTTTAATGGCCACGTCGTAAGTCCCGGCGCTCGGACTTTGAAAAAAATCGCTCCTCGCACGATAAGTAATTGAAATGCACCCGTCACACACCGTACATATTCTATACATTATTATTACGTTTTACTGCTGCAACAACACATCCAGGGATGTTCCCATACTATATATACGCCGTATACTTTCAAGATTTTTTTTCAATATTATGGATGTAATACGTATACTCTCAAGTCTCGATCGATTTGCGATTGTAACTCTCAAAATATTTTTACAAAATTATGAGTATACTCAAATCATATACAAAGGAAAAAACAAAAACATTTTTAATTAAGTAATTTTTCCATGTTTACGTTATTTACATATCTTAAATATTTATTTTAATATTTGAAAATATTGACGAAATAATATAAAGAGGATATTTAAAAAAATCATATTTAAAATTTTTCCATTTTAAATAACACGCTCTTTACCGGCCGGCTTTACTTTTATAAACCATGAGAAAATATTTTTATTATATTAAATGTTTATATTTTGGTATTCGATAACTTAGTATGCTCTCAAAAAAATTAATGGGAACACCACTGAACCCATCGCCGACCGTTTGTCTCGCAGTCGTTACAGGTGTGTAGGTATTTGTGTACACCGCGTCACTTGTAGCAGCAGCCGCAGCAGCAACAGCAGTAGCAACAGCAGTAGCAGTAGCAGCAGCAGCCCACCGCACGTCGAGGCAAGCGCCTACGCGCGATGGTACACCTACCCATACCTCCTAACGATAACAACAACAACACACGATCATAGGTACAGAGTGGTCAAGGCGTCGTCGTCGTGGTGAAAGTGCGCGCGTGCTGGTGGCGCATGCGCGCCCGAGACGGCGGCGTGCGAAACGCGTCCGGCGTATTCGCAGGAACGTCAGTGGCGGGGGAGGCGAAAAAGACCTCCCGTCAGCAGGAAAATCGGGCGCCGAGCTGCTTCCCCACCCGTCGACGAGCCCGTGTATTTATTATCACGGTGTGTACGTCGCGTCGCACGTATAATAACGTGACGCCGCCGCGGAGACGATTGGGGAAACGGCGAACAGATCGTGACGGGACCGAGGATATCTACCTATACAACCAGCAGTGTTGGTCTGCGCCGCTCATTACACGAACCCACACGCAGTAGCGATGACGGGAAAAGCTGCTCTGGCCGTCGTGCTCCTGATGTGCCTGTCGCAGGCCATCGACAACTGTAAGTATATTATAATATGCTCATAAATATAATATATGTGTACGCATGTTGTTATAAAATATATAATATATTATTATTAGACGACGACGACGACTGACGGTTCTATACGATAATAATGAGATACTTATGGGTACCAATATATGCAAATATCTATAAATATAATATACACGTTATCGTATGATATTCGATTTTTTGCGATCGCAATCCACAGAGAGAGTCCTTGTCGTCTGCGAGACGCTTATATTATTCGCCACTGTAACGTATTTATTGGTATTTACTTACGATGACGTGACGGACAATCGTATAACGCCTATGTACCTGTTAAACGTATAGTATAGGTTCACACTTCAAACGTGTTCAAAAATTTCTGTCCTAAATGCCCCAGCGACCATCGCGCCGTCATTCTTTCAGTAGGGCATTTTTCCAAGCACAAGACGCACATTTTCATTACTTTCTGACAAGTATATATTATTATGTAGTGTAGGAAGATCGTGCGTGCGAATTCTGTAGAAATATTGACTAAAAACTGTAGTCAGTCGTCAGACAGCGTGTGTCCACAGAAAATTATACATAATATTATCGTTTTCGATTCGTGACAAATAAAATCACTAGATGTAGTCTGATATTCATAATTATATTCTGACCTATGAAGAAAATTTAAAATGTTTTCGTATTAGTTAAGCGGTTTAAAAAGAAAGCAATTTGTGAGCGAAATAAAAGTAATAGAGTTCGTTGCTCTCGATAGTTTGTTACACAACTACGATTTATATATACCTGCATTACTATCAAATATATAGGTACACGAAGGCAGACATTGCGGAGTTATTCAAACTATTTGAACATTATTTATCGTACCTATATTATATACATCATTGATAAAAAGTTCTTATGTGCGATCCACTTTTATAATTTTTATCTATTTTCCCAAAATCAATGTCGAGTTTCATACATTCCATGTTATTATTAAAATATTATGTTGCCCGTGTGTCCTTGTGTTTGATTGTCTGTACATTTTCTCTATCTTAGTAATCTTAGTTGTCGTGATCACTTAATCCTCGGAATGACTGGACGTTGTAAACAGAGTCCCGTTAAAATTTCATTTTATTTTTTTGTAACGCGTTGAATTAATTAAACATGAATTTCTCGTGTAAGACCGCCGTAATAAGAGAGTAATTGTATACAGATATTAATTATATAAATCATTTTTCCATTTATGTCGTTTGCAATTAATTTGTACGGGGGTCAGTGCAAACCTGTCAGGTTTTTCCGCCTCATCGTTCGAGAAAGCGGTCCGACTCTAAAGTGTATCGATTTAATTTGTTTGTGTATCGAACACGAGATAATTTATCGCATTATATATATATATATAAATTTACTATAGCAGGTATATCAGAGAATATACGCATATCTGAGTGGGTCTATCTGGGCGCACGATTTGTATATGACGCGCGATTCGACCGATTATTTTCTCTTTTCGTCACCACTCGAACCTGCGCACATACGCCGGTGTACGACCAACGATTTCCAACGCCTTTTACTCGCGCGTCGCCTGAACAATGGGTGCCACGGCCATACTACGTGACTTGGCCGCTACACGTTCAATGAGCCCAACCTGCAGGCTCTACATAATATAGAACTGTACTATTATGTTGTTATGGTGTTTTGTTCTGAGAAATATAATGACACTCTTGTATATAAAACAGCTGAAACACAGAATATAATAATATGTCAAACACACCCACACGCACATACACACGCGCATTATTAATACACACGCATAATATAATGTTCACGTATAGGTACCTATATGGTACATTGTAAAGTATATAGGTATTATAATAATTGACAATTTGTCGGTACTCGGTATGTCTGTATGATATGATATATTATCATAGTAGAATTTATTATTGTGTTATCTATTCACCGCGTGTTATTGGCACTGACGCCAACGGCCAACCTTGATCGGACGACTCGAGTCTTGATCAATTATATTTTTTCTCGTTGCTATTTTTCGCTTCAAACAGCGTGTGTAGAAATGTCTTTGCACAACTAGGTACACGACATCACGTGGACGACTGTACGCAGATCTCCGTTCTGAAATTCGATAATAATAGCCAATTAATAGGTAAATACTGGCTGAACGGCCGTGCGCACCACCGTCGTGTTATGAGAAACTGCGGATTTTTGAACAGCTCGTGTTATGTTATCATGACGTCGTATTAGTATATGAGATATTTGCGGTATTTCGGTACGACAATCAATAAAGTCATTCTTGTTTATAGTGAAATCGTAACGTTAGCATTTCAAATAAACTTGGATCACCTGGAATTTTGAGTGGGGGAAAGTGTTTAAAACCTTAGTGTTTGATTTCGTTTAAATAGGATGACATTACGCGTATATATTAAATAAAATCCTACTTTTTTTGAAAATCAGTACAATAGGAACATTGAATTTCGTTTTATGCAGGCAATGGGTTTATAACGCCAAGAGAGAAACGTCAAGCTGATGAAGGCGACGAACAATCAGTTGATGAACTATGTAAAAACCGACCAGCTGATGAGTACTTTCGTTTAACGATCGAAGGTGACTGTAGAGACGTCGTAAGGTAAATATTCAAAATTATGATTAAAAGACATATAAATGGATCAAACCCGTGTCTAATAAATAATAACCAGGGCTTGCAAACGTTATATTTGACAAAAACCGATTGAGATTTGTAATGTAATTATAACGGAAAACGATAAACATAAATAGTTAAATAACACAAAACAAAACATAACGATTAACAAAATATATGATATATCATAAAACAAAACATAACGCAAAACGTTAAATATAGTATATCATTGATGAAATAATTAATTTCCAATTATTTAATAGCTATAATTTATAAAATATATTAAAAATTTTCATTTTGAATAACGATAAACGCAAAATTGAATAACTTTTAAATTCTGAATAACGATAAACTCAAAATTTGTATAACGTTTAAATTGTAAATAACATAAAACAAAATTGTTTTTCAAATGCAAGCCCTGATAATAATAGTATATATTATATGCTAATAAATTGTAATAGATAGACGTGTCAATCACTTATAACTTTATGTGTAATGTTGAAAACATTAAATAATATAAAAATTATTCATTTCGTTACATCATCGTATAACTACGACCGTACCCAGTGAACGTAAACTTTACTATGATGTTTTTACAACCGATTAACCTCAAAATATAGCGATATATGTACTGTAACATTATTGAAAATGTCTTTTAGTTTAAACAGCATACATGTTTTGCTTTAATATAATGTAAGTCATTTTTACGATAAAAAAAATATATAATATACATAAATATTATATAATAATAAAAACAAACAGTAATGCAAAGTTGCAAAGGTATTATAAATTCCAACTTTAATAAATACCCTAATTAATAATATCTACTTACACTATAATTATATACGAATTTAAATCAATTTCTTGAACTTAATTTGTTTTCACAAAATATATTTCTTCAACATCTGTGTACATTTTATCAAAACATATATACTGACTTTATACCGAACTACAAGACATATTATGTGATATATAATTCTTACTAAAATCAAACAATTAATAGTTTTGTAGGATAAATTTTTTATTTTTTTTTTTATGTTTGTAAATCCTACCAAACATTAATATTGTACGTTACACGTAGGCCGATTCAGTGCATGTCCGAAAACTTTGTATTTTTTTTATTGGTATGATTGATGCCCACAATAGGTGCGACCAAGCAGGCGAGAACGGCATTACCCGTCTCGCAGGCGTCCGATGCCCTCAAGGATTAGCTTTTGACATTGATCGTCAGACTTGCGATTGGAAAACTCGTGTGAAAAATTGTGACAAATTAGATAGTAAGTACGACGAACGGCCGGAGAAGGTGGTCTACGGGCTTTAAGCAATACACGTATCACTACTGTTGTTATTTGAACCAATATAAAACAAAATTCAATTTGCCCTGGTGCTAATCTTAAGTCTGCGCAGCTCGAAATACACATCCATACTATTTATATACTAAGGACACTACTACTTAGTATTATAATTGCCTCGAATATCATAAATATGCCTTTGCCCGTGTTCGTTGTTTTTACTAACAATACCTAACATAACCATCATAATATAAAGTCAATAGGAATATATATTTTTTTTTATAATATATAAAATAAATTTATTGGTGTCTTATTTACATGAACCTTACATGCATTGCATCTGTTTGTTTTGGCTAAAATTAATTAATTTTCAGCATACCATCGATTGAACATCATAAAAAAGTGAAATTAAGTTAAATTTGACAATGTCTTTTTTTTTAACATAAAAATAGCATGAACGCATTTTTTCCTTCAGGTGCACTAAAGCTGGTATAAAACAAATCACTTGTCCGTCTGGTTTGGCGTTCGACATAGATAAGCAGACGTGTGATTGGAAGGGTAAAGTCACCAACTGTAACCGTTTGGACAGTAAGTGGTGATATCACTGTTTAGAGGTGAAGGACGAGAGTGTGAACTGTACATTGCAAAAAAAAAAAAAAATATTAACATATTATAATATGTTATACCTACCTATTTATTCTATGTGAATGTATGTGGTTTACCAAAGAAAATTAGTTGAGTAGTTTTGATAGACCTGTGCGCCAAACACAGGTAGGCTTTTTTTTAATTAATCCCGGAATCGTGTATTTTTTCTTTTGTTTTTTAGAAGGTGCATGCAGCTTTTGTATACATAAATATTATATTTATATTTTTTTATTTTTTATTTTTTAAACAGTTTTAACATAAATCTCATCATTTATTGACTTTGCATGTGCTTTATAATTATTATTTAATTGCTTTTATAAATACCATATGACTAACACTAACATACGCTTATAGCTTGCTACATGAATCATGATTAATAATTAATTATATTCATTAAACATTTAAAAAGTTGCTCAATATTCAAATTTATTTTTACAGTATGACGGATATTACTTTTTTTTAAATAAATGTTGATATCAAAAGTTATTTATTAGTACAAAAAAATAAAGGTTCGCCCTTAAATATGAATATCAATTATATTTTTTATATACATATAATAAATTACTACAATTTTTTTAAATATTTTGAGACCACGATATTCAATCAAATATTCAAATCACGAATCTCGTGCATGTTTAAATGTGACTTACATTTTTATGCAACACATAGGCAGATACGCAATCACATAAATCCAGTTCCATTTAGTCAGCTAGAGAAAAAGTTAATTACTTATATTAAAAACGAGTTTTAAAAAATAAAACTAAACTTGAATCATCAAATCGATCGAAAGATTTAAAGTGTAGGTAAATCGATTTCTGGTTTTACAGACTTTGGTGTTTAATATTATTATGAGAATACATTATATATTATTCTTCGAAACGATAATTATTAACAGCACGAAGGTATGACAACAGAACAACCGGTCTGTAAATTGTATAAAAGCACATTATTCATTCACTTTCAATATTCCTGTTTACAAAACAAATTAATAATAAATTTAACAGCAATTAAAGTAGCAGTTAGACTAAGAATATAGTTACTTTCTTCAGTACCTTGTAAAAATATTAACTACCAATTTAAAATTGTTATAAAAATGTATAATATGATAAGATAATAACACATTTATACGTATCTACAGACTATGCAATATATTACAGTAAATAAAATTAAATTTGTAATGCTAGATTAGTGGTGGTTAGTACCCGTTGTAAAATACTCGGTTAGATATCTACTAAAATAAAAACTTATGTTTCATACTTTTATAAAATTAATGAAATGCTTTTAGCCTATAAAGAATGTTTTTGCGTAATCGTTAATCTATATTCCTGCTCTTGTTATAATTATTCTATTCATCGCTTTTTCTTAATTAGACATTTTACTATCTTAGTAATTACTAGCAATAATAATTACCTACTTCAGTTAAAATAATATTCAACGCCTTAAGATGTAATACTATGAAGTTATAGCTTGTACCTAATCTCAAGAACGAATGTAAAAATCAAGTAAAAAATAAGAAAGAATTTTTGTACATTTTCGATATCTCACTCAAGAAAAAATAAAGAATAATAAAATAAAATATGTTAAAAGCTAAAAGTTGAAAGTTGAAAAATGAAATTATGTTAACATTTATAACGAGATCGTTGTTGAAATAGATACGTTTCATAATGTTAATTTTAAAATCAAATCTAACTCAAAACATCAAACAATGAAGTCAACTCTTAAATAGAAAAAACATGTTCATTGGCGTTGAATATTATATGACATGAATAAAATGAAATTTGAAATCTATAACCTAGACTGTTTTCAGAACCCAGAAAAGCTTTACCAAATTTGAAAACAGACGAACCAGTATGTCCAAAAGACCAATTACAATGTGGTAGTGGTGAATGTATAAACAAAGATCTTTTCTGTAATGACAGATACGAATGCAATGACGAGTCTGACGAAAACGCTTGCAGTGAGTGTTATTGGTCGTAGTAATTATGCAACTGTAGAATTGTAACGTGACCGATTACCATTTACAATAATTTATATTCGTGACTTTAGGCGTGGAAACTGACCCGAACCGTGCGCCAGATTGTGATCCGAACCAATGTGTGCTGCCTGATTGTTTCTGCTCAGCTGACGGTACCAGAATACCCGGAGGATTGGAACCTAGTCAGGTATGTAACTGCAAAAATATAATATTGTTTACGAAATTCTCAAATGAATACTGATGTTTTTTTTTCAATTTTCCTTTTTTGGCTAATATTTTAATATCAAACACATTCAAGACATTATAACAAAATATTACCTACCTATATTAATATTTTTTTTTTTTTTTAACTTATTTGAGTCCACAGACATTTTTGTTTTTCTAAGAAACAATGTTAGAGAAATTTATAATAATTTATCATTTCTTGAATAAATAAAAATATTTATTTATCGTCAATATAAATCGATTTTAATTTATGTATCTTTTTAAATTAAAAAAAAAATTGAAAAAAACACATATAATTTAACATTGTTGAATATCGAATCGTATTTTAACATTTAACATAATCGTAAATAGGTACCTCAATTGATCACTATTACATTTAACGGTGCCGTTAATGTCGACAACATGGATTTGTACGAAGAGATTTTCAATAACGCGTTGCCCAACCGAATGAACCCTAACGGTTGTTCCATCAAAGGAACGTTCTTTGTGTCGCACAAGTACACCAATTATGCTTTCGTACAAGAATTGCATCGCAAAGGACACGAAATCGCCGTGTTCTCGTTGACACACAAAGACGATCCGAAGTACTGGACCGGTGGATCTTACGACGATTGGTTGGCCGAGATGGCCGGAGCTAGACTCATTACAGAAAGGTACCTACGCAATATTATTAAACACGTTTTTATGTTTAGTGCGCCCACTAAAATAATTAAGTGTAATATGAAACGGTTGTAACCACATTATCACTAATAGTGATAATAATTCATTATTCAATCAATAATCATTTATTTATTTTTACTACTGCAATCCAAATATTTTACTTAACTATATAGAATTTAGTATATGATAGTATAAAATTTCAGTAGGTAATCAAAATACCGGCCAAAACGTTTTGATACGCTTTGAGTCGTTCTTATAAATTTTTTAACCCCGGAATAAAAACTATTCGATTTCACAAGTGCGTTGAGCATTTCGCTTCTATGAAGTATGATAATGTGCGTTGAAAACATATGTCCATACACGTTACTCCTGAAGTTCTGAATTAAATTAATGTTAACCATACGTACACGCATAAAGGGTGTTTTTAATTGCTGATTAACTATATAATTTACTCGAATTTCGAAACGATGCCCCGCAATGGTAATTTAGTTATTTATTTACAAATCTCAAACCAACAGATTCGCTAACATCTCTGACGGTTCGATCGTCGGCATCCGCGCGCCATACCTGAGAGTCGGCGGCAACAAGCAGTTCCAGATGATGGAACATCAGTTCTTCGTGTACGACGCCTCCATCACCGCCTCCTTAGGCCGCGTTCCCATCTGGCCGTACACCCTGTTCTTCAGAATGCCACACAAGTGTAACGGTAACGCCCAGAACTGTCCTAGCCGAAGCCATCCGGTATGGGAAATGGTCATGAACGAGCTGGACAGACGTGACGATCCGACTTTCGACGAGTCTCTGCCAGGTTTGTGACCATAATATAAATTCAGTAAAAAAATAAACTCGATGTGACGCGTTTGTTCGCCCACCTCGACCCGAGCATGATATAATACGACTAATACGCTGTTGTGCTATTATAGGTTGTCACATGGTCGATTCCTGTTCGAACATCCAAACCGGCGAACAGTTCGGACGCTTGCTCAGACACAACTTCAACCGTCACTTCTCCACCAACCGTGCCCCGTTGGGATTACACTTCCACGCTTCGTGGTTGAAGAGCAAAAAAGAATTTAAAGATGAACTGATCAAGTTCATCGAAGAAATGTTGAAGAGAAACGACGTGTACTTCGTCAACATGTTACAAGTAAGTGTACCTACCTACTCGTTTATGCCTGCAGGCCGGGTAAATTAGAACACCGATAGGTTTAATAATAATTATGGTATTTCTACGACAACAACTAACGAACAATAATTATACAAAATCTCTAATGGTCAAACAAGTTTAATATGTAGGTACCTACCTAACTATATACGCACAAAAAAAAAATAATAAAATATCGCAAATAATTAATGACTTTAAATAACAGTTTTCGCTTAAATACAATAAGTTAATTATTATTATGCAAACGATAATTTGTTGTGTAGGTATAGGTGCGAATAAAATAGAAAACTATTTAGTTATTAGATATTACAGTGTTCATATATTATACTAGTCGACGCCGCCCGTAACACAAATTTCAGTGGAAAAAAAAATTTTAAAAATATTAATTCGTAATGATATTTTGCTTTAAAGGTTATTCAGTGGATGCAAACACCAACCGAACTGGACAACATGAGAGATTTCACAGAATGGAAAGACGAAAATAGCAAATGTGATGTCAAAGGACAACCGTTCTGCTCGCTATCAAATCCCTGCCCATTGACCACCAGAGAACTCCCAGGAGAGACGATCAGACTGTTCACCTGCATGGAATGTCCCAATTATTACCCATGGATTTTAGATCCCACTGGTGACGGATTCTCTACAAGAAGAAAGCGGAACGTTCACTTAAACTTCAAAAATAAAAACAAAAATCACTACGTCTAGTCACAGTTTTAACTTGAATGTCAGATAAAATAAAGACATCTCATTTGTGATTTTTTTCTGTTTCGTGCTCTACATTTCATTGTTTTTATATTCGATAGAAAGTAAAATTTGAATGTAAAAATAATATTCAAATAGTTATCATGAGTACAATATTATTATAAGTTTACTTAAATTATTTTATTCATTTTTTTTCTAATTTTGTATTTTTACATTTAATTTTGCTCATTTGAACAAATTTGTTGTATGTGTTTGAAATATTATATGATTTAATTTAATGAATATTAATATGATTGTAGGAAAAATACTTTGTAAAATACAGTAACATTTGAGCAATTTGAAAAAATTCATTGCACTTTATACATTTATATATATATATTATTGTATAATTAATTTTTAGAAGTGTCAATAAACTATTATTTTTGTTTTTACTTTTATATTTTGAAAATATTTTACAAACACAACTACTAATTAAGAGATAACTACGTAACTGTAACGTCTGTAACTGGTTTATAGTGTAACGACAAGAATCGAAATTTCAACCCATTCAAGTATTGAGAAATTTCACCAAAAAATAAATCATTTTACCTAGATATTGTTATAATTTATAAATTAAAATTATTATCTATTAATTAGTACATGATATACCTCAAAACAAAAAATGATCATGGGTGATTTTAAAATTTATATTTTTATTTTCATTTTTAATTGTTATTAGAATAATAATTAATGTTTGGGTTAGATAGTTAATAGGTACCTACTGGTTTCTAAATGTTTTCGGAGTTAAATAACCCTACTATAAATATCTATTAAATTTAAACCAATCATCACAAATGCATACGGGCCATACGCCCATACGGCAATGCATCTATACAATTTATCTTTTGATCGAAGTAAGCTAATAATATTTATAGGAACTATAAAATATTAATATCATACCTAAGTATTTAGTGAAATTTTCGATCAATTTATAATTATATAGGTGCACGTACTCATATTAAAATGTTAGCCCTTTTAATAATATTGTACTCGATTTCCATCAATTGAAACATGGGTAAATGTACATCTAACTATCTAAAGTTTGAAATTATTGATAATTTTTTTGTGGAAAAAAAGTCACATTTAGCCATGCCTTGGCCTACAATCTATTATAGATTAGTCTATTTGTAATTGCTTTAGTACCTATATAATTAGTATAGTTTCCTAAAACGCGACGAAAAATTACCAACAAAGAAACACCATCAAAAAAGCATATTACAAATTTAGCAAATGTATCATTAGATACTCAATTTTTTTTTAAATTCAATAACTATATCCATTAACATTGCTAAGCTGCTTCAACAATTATAATGAATATTAAATAATAATAAATAATAGTACCTATATAGGTAGGTATATACCTAGGTACTTGAATTATAATACGTATAATCTAAATGGACATGAGCTTTCTTTTATCTATCCGTATTTTTTTACTATTATCCAAATTAAATAGGTAAAAACAAAAAAAAAAACTCCATATACAACGTACTAAAAGTATAAATATTTTACCAATTATATTAACTATAAACCATTAATTCGATCAAAAATTTCTGAAAATCTATTTGATCTTGTCTTGAAATTATTTGACATCGACATACTAACATAAAAAAATTTAAAAATTTAAATAATTATTATATTCAAAATTTAAAAATATAATTTTGGAAGGTTTAGAAGTTCAATTTGTTTTAAAGTTCGTTTTTAAATAAACCTCATGGTTATAACTTATAACGAATTCAAATACATTTTTAGACGTTCAATCAAATTAATAGGATAGGCGCCTAGTTGTTACAAATATATATTGACTAAATAATAAGGTAGATCAATTTTAGATATCTTTCATGACTATAGGCAATAGTCAAATGTATAACTTATTTTTACAAAATTGTATTAATATGTTACAATAGGTATGTTTAATCGTATATAATTTCAATAGGTATATTATGATTAACTAGGTAGTACCTAGGTACCAAAAAGTCACATATTATCAGATGAAAAAAAAATACAATTAATAACGTTCTAATTAGTATAAACATAAATTTTAATTTTAATTAAACGATTTACCTAACGGAATTAACTAATAGTCTTATAGGTGCCAAATTTAAGTTTAAAAAAATCAATTCACTTTTTCTTCGGATACAAAGCATGTTCATAAAGTAACTACTTATGGGGATCGCAGAACAGATATAATATACCTATGCGAGTGGAATTAAAAATTATGTAGTAATACAATTGGCCACAGTCATTTGACTATTAGGTTATACTTAAACACTCATATAAAAAAATAGATTTTAAATAGCAACAGATAATGCGAAACTAGCTGTCATAGGATAGATGAGCCTGTAAAAAAAATAACAAAATTCTATACACAAATCCAACTGGTTACTTTATGCCAAAGAATAGGAATCATTCTATTACAGTGTAAAAATTCTTATATAAAATAAGTCATAATATTAGCCATTAGGACAAGATTTAGATAAAAATCATAATTATTGAATTTTTTATAATTTATAAGACAACACTAAATTAATAAAAATTATTATATACATTTAAATATTATGTGTGCATAATAACCATTATGTTTATTTCAATAATTATTATTATTAGTTTACTATCTCTTCCATAAACATATTTGTTATTGTATGTATATTATTATTACTATTACTACTATTATTACCATATTATTACTAATATTATTCTCATAATTGTACTTGTAACCCGTTTAATATTAAATAAATAAATAAATAGTTTTTATATGAATAATTAATTTGATTTTTAGTACATAAATAATGATCTGATGATTATAATAATTAAACATTCTTTTTAAATAAATTATTTTAAATATTGTTCTGTTTATACCAGACTTTTTTCAAGGACTATTTTACTACCAAATTTTTCCCAAGATTTGTTTATTGTTATATTGATACCTAGTTATTTGATAATAATATTTAAAAAATATAAAGAATGGCATCAACTAGATAAAGCTAAACCTTAAAAAATTAAAAAATAATATTTTTTTAAGCTTTTTATCCAAATTATTATTTAGTATTTAGTTATTTTTAAAATGAAGATAATACTTTAACTAAATTAATTGTTCATTTTAATAACTTGGCATTTTCAATTAACTTGAGGTGAACAATAATTGTAGATAAGTATGTTAAACTAAATTAATATTACTTAAATCTTATGACATTTTTTTACATTAAATTTATTTAATATTTTTCTTTATTTTAACTTTAAACTTTAAATTTATAGAGTTAAATCAACTATTTGGAGACTATACAAATTGTAACTTAACATTTTAAACATTGACTTGACTAACTCATGTGGATTTTTCATAAGCTTTCCTACCTTTAGAAATACTAACATTATTGACTTATTAGATTACCAACAATATTAATTTTATACAATTTACAAACATGGTTTTTTTAGAAAACAAATATTTTTCATTTGATCTACACAACCTAACTTAATCTAAGTATAGCAACAATCAACAAGCCTCTCTCTTATAATTTAACAAAATATGTAGTATTGTTACCTAATACAATACCTAATAAAATACAATTAATTATTGAATAAATTGGTACTTATTCTATGTAATGCATATTCTGTAATACTTGAGTACTTTTTACTAGACATAGTTTACTTTTATAGTGTTAATTTATTTATTCCCTATTCATTAATTATCTATTTTGTCTATTGTTCTTAACTTAAACCAATATTTGAAAATTATAAATCATAAATAAAAACATAGAATTGTAAATATAAAAATTATTGTGATAAAAATAAGGTTTTTGATGAATTTTAAAATAAATTCAAATTAGTTTTTATTAATTTATTAATGTATAGATAGGTAATTTTTATTTAGTAAATAATTATTATTATTATTTATAAAATCTTCAAAATTAAATAGATTATTTGTCTGTTTCAATAATGAAGATTAAAAAAGTAAAAAAATGATCATAAAACAGCAATCAAGACACAAAAAAAGTAAATTTTCTAAAATATAATAAGTAGTAATTACCTAAATAATAAAAATAAAATAAGTTTTTAAAAGTTATGTAATATAGGCGGGTATCATACAATAGATTGTTCAATTAATTCTATATTTATTTTTTTTTTTTCATAATTTTTAGGTCGAAATAAGTATGTTAAGATCATTATTTTTAATTTAATCAAAGTAAAGATATTTGAACTTAAAAATCATTTTAAAAACACATCAATAATGACATTAAAAAAAAAAAATTTATATATACAAAAATATAACTTTTTCTACTAATTTATCATGTGAACAACTTTACCAAAAATATAATGAAAATTTTGTAAGTCTATATAATTAAAACTTTAAGAATATACAATCCATATATTAAGTTCTGAAGAATTCTAAAATTAAATAAATTATATGCATCTTTTTTTAATTTATATTCCCATAAAGTCATTACACATAAGGTAAGTATTGTGTAAATGATTTATTCCAATGTAGTTCTACCATTGAAAAAAAAATCATTTCATAAAATTTACTTTTAATAATTTAACTTGTTGCATTCTAAAACAAATTTCTAGTCTAAAAGCAAAAGAAAAATGTTCTCAGTGTCAATAAAATAATTAATATCTAATGCATTCATTCACAAATCACCAATGCTTAATTAACATTTTATTTTTCAATCAAATTACTTATGAGTTATGGCATTTATGGTCACCCAAGTAGAATATAAGAGTACTTTATAAATACTTAAATTAATAAAATAAAATATTTAAGAAATTTAGGTGGGTACAATTATTTCTTACTATACCTAGCAGAGTAAAGAGGAATTTTATTTAAACATTTTTTGAAATATGTTTAGTAAAATAAATGTATTTTTATTAAGTTACAAAACACAGATATTTACAAAACTATTTGCTTGGGTATAACAAATACAAATATTTTAATTTAGAAAACTATTTAACCTATTTTTTTATTTTATTTTTTATTAAGTATTTGTGTTTCTTCTTCTCAGTAATACAAACGATTTTACATTTGATTTTAAATACTATTGTAGTATTTATTTGTAATACAAAAACATATAACAATGTAAATTATCTACAAAGAAAAATAAATATTTTAAAACATAAATACTTTATGATATCAATTAAAATTTTAAAAATAATCTATTATTGGAAAATAAGAAATATACATCGATCAGCAACTGTAATCAAAATCATAAGTGGTATTTTATTATCTCTAGAATTTTTTTTGATAGTCCAAAAAAACTAATTTACCTACATTTAAAATATATTTAGAAATTTCAACAAGAAACTATCACTAATGATATCATAACTATCAATTATATACAATTTTCCAATAGTTATACTATAGGAAGAAGGTAACTAACTTTAGATATATAGATCTAAAATATCTGTAAAAGTGCCTTCACTGGAAGGTATCTTTAATCCTTCCTTCATGCCATAATTATCAAATTCATCAATTTCACTTATTGTTCAAAATGTATGTAACAGATTGTGGAAATAAAAATTAAGTAAATAAAAAAAAGATCTAAAATATAGACCCTTATTTAAGTACAAGTAAAAAAAAAAAAGGTATTGTTTAGGAGTTCACCTAAATAAATTACATAATAAATAATATAAATTAATTTTGAATTTTTAACTAAAAATTTAGCCAATATTTTTAAAAGTGTTATATATCATGATTTATGTTATTAAAATAAACTACTAGACGTTTTAATTACGTAAAAGATTTTATTTGTAATCATTATCATAAGTTCATTGTTATGTTTTTTTTTTTTTTTGGTATGTTCTTATTTAAATTCTTAAAAACTAATGGGTTTAAGCCAGCATACAAGGTTCTCTTTTTTTTCTTTGGTTTTTTTTCAACCTTTGTTTCAACTTTTTCTTTGGTTTTTGATGTTATGTCAATGCTTTCATTTAGAGTTGAAACTTTTGGCAATTTTTCCGTAGCTTTTTCATTTGATATTTTATTCTTCTTATACACTGAACGGGTTTTATTTAAACACACCAAACATTTCATTATCTAAAACAATTATTTAATAAATCAATATATTATTGTTATAATAAATCATATTTATCAAATTTTACCATATTAAATGCTGTAGAATGTTTCTTATGAATTTTGCCATTTTTATATTTTCGCTTTGGAAGAGTTTTTAAAACAAAATTGCCATACTTCCAAGGTGTTAAACAATATTGACAACAATTTTCTGTGTACATAGATTTGATTTCATCTAGTTGACTGTTCTGATTGTGCTGAGAACATCTAAAAAAAAATGAAGTTAAAGCTTATATTAATGAAGGGAACAGGTAACTATTGAATAAAAATGCATTTTATAATTAACTTTCTTTAACATAAAATAATTTTTTAAATATTTCTATTAATTGTAACAAAGTTGCTTTTACATATAATTGAGTTATTTTTGGTAAGTTGTATTTATTATTGAATAAATCAGTATTTGTAAAATATAGTTTTATTTTTATTTTGAGTAGTTGTACTATGTGTTTTAAAATTAATTTCATATGGATCTCCCCAGGCAGATATTTCATGAAAGTAATAATGTAATATTAGTGTTGTTAACATAGCACTTGCAACACTTTAGGTGTTACAAAAGAATTGTTTTGCAATATATTGTCTTGAATATATTCAAGCTTGTATGTTTGTACATAGATATAAGTAAATAATATTTTATTTAATGTATTATTAATGTATTCATACTATGATAGGTTAACATGTTTAATATTATTTATACATAGTTCTGAATTAGTTTTAGCTTTTAGATGAATATTTTATAAAAGAACACTGATAATGTTCTTACTTTTAAATTTTATAATACTTCAATTCACTCTAATATTAAAGCTAATAATACAAAACTGCTAAATCGAAATATTGGTATGTTAGTAAGACAGAAACAACGCATGCGAGTATAACGTCCTCAAAGGTTTTTTACTACAAAGTTAATTCACAAGACTTGTAAATTTGTAAAATATTATTACAAAATCTATCTATTGAGAGAAATTATTAATACCAATATTTATAAAATTTGAATTTAATACTATCAAATCAAGTTTCTTCACGACATTTTTTTTTAATATAAATTTTAATTTAAACTTAAATTAATGGAATTTACTAGTATTAAGTCTCTAACAAATGCTAAAATACTAACAAATTCTTTTAAAAGTATCTACTAATTAAAATTTGTATAACTATGTATCAAATCTCAAAACATGTTTTGTATTAACTATAAACAGATATCAGAAAAAAAATTAGATGAAATAGAAATATGTATTTAAACTATGTTTATCCAATTTAAGAATCAAACAATAAATATGCGAATAAACAATTTCTTTCAAACTATTAATATTTTTGGCACAAAATGTATTAAACCTAGCATTACATTACCTATACCGACAGAATTTTTATTACGTTGTTTAATAGTTATCTAGTGAAGAATTTTCAGATTGCTATAAGTTATACTTAATATTATTATTTTTGAGACGATACTTACAAAATAGAAACCCTAAAGGGAGCCAAAGCTTTTTGATCGTTGTGCAGTTGCTTACTCAACAAATTCATATACTTGGAAATATAATCTGAAGTCATCATTTTTGTGTCCATAACGTTGGATTCACATCAACCGTCTTCGTGCGTTAGTGCCAAGTAGTATATTTCGTCGCAAATTCGAAATCGTTACAGTTTTCGAATTTAAAAAAGAGTGGCTTCAATCACATCATAATTCATAATAATTGTTATCCGACGGAAACATAACACCCAAATGGTCGTGTTATTAATGTTATTATCGTTTGTTTTGTTTTCACGATCCGCACTATCACGTTGATAAATCCACGAAGACCAGAGCTGATAAATCCACGAAAACTAGAATGATTACTGCACTATAGCCGCCATAGATAATACATGATTAATAAATAAACGTTTGCCGAGTTAATTACCTACGGTTATAGCGCGATCGCGGCATTATGATTGGCAACGATTTAATAAATCCATCGGGGTTTATATCGCATAACGACATGGCACACGATATTATTGTTATAGTTCATCATCCGCTGTGATTGAATCGAACATCGTACGGTAATATTATGGTTTTTTTTTTTTTTTGATTTTTTCCGTATACCCATCAAATCGTGCATTTCTTCAAGCCGATAAACGCGTACGGAATTCCTCCACGAAATAATATTTAATATTATTCTACGCCAGGCGGATCTATGAACCCACATCGTCCGCGTTTCTTAAGTTTCTTTGTCGTCGCGGACAACAATAAATAATAATAATAATAATAATAATATCGTCGCGTCGTGTTCGTTACAATAATATTATTATTGTTATTATTATTATTATTATTCAATACCTGGAGACGGTAGATAAGTTACATTGGTAACACGTCGATGGAGAATATTGTATGATATTTTAATATTATATTATTCAACACTGGACACGACAATACACGACAACAGCCGTCGCGAACGAAGCCGTAAGCGCGGTTATCTTATAATCTTACATCTACGCGCGCAGATAACCGAGGTTGGTACTCGGTGGTGAGAGAGAAAAAAAGAAAACTAAAACACGACCACCGGGCCGACGAATACAATTGTGTGACTGTGTGTTATACTATTTTTTTCAATAGGTACCGTACTGGTACTGCAGACTGCAGACGGCTCCTTCTGTTATTATTATTATTATTATTATTACTATTATTATTATTATTATTATTATTTGGAAGGTATTGTCGTCGTGACGGAGACAGTGAGACACCGAGTTTTTATTTTCACTAGCGGTGACATTCGTCGTCGTGACGAGAGCGAGTGAGGTGAAACCAGTGAGCTGTTGAATTACCGTTCAATCGTCGCCGAAACGCCGAGCGCGAATAGTCCACTGGCAATCGCTGAGTACATGGAGATATTAGTTTGGTCTGACTCCACGTCTGTTTCCCAAATCTTTTTCTCGAGCGTGTTTCGCGTACGCCGTCGCCATCACAGACCGGGCACCTAACAGTCGGTACGCCGCATCGTTGTTTCATATTCTTCGCGTGAGTATCGTTTCATTGCAATACCGTTATTACCAATCGATATGTCCTCGTTGGCCTCTGTAACGTTCGATTCAAATTGCTCAGTAGAACGAATAATATGCTGTGGATGTGATTCTCGATCGGTCTTGGGACTCTGACCCTGATGTCGAGTCGAGTTAACGAAATTGATTCTTTTAACATTTCCCTACTGAAATTGAACGGATCGATCGTGTCGAGGGGACTGTTTGCTAGTAGCACTGTTGGTTCATTGAATGTTAAGTGATTGTCTGTATGACAGAGATTGTTTGGAGTGATGGTCGATTTAAAAAAACAATCAGTGTTTCATAACGTCTTGCACACTATTGTTTTATTCGTGTATTTTCAACAGCCTTGGTTCTAAAATAATCGTCTTTAATACACGTAGATCAAAAACTTTGCATTTTGTATAATTTGCATTATATTATGGTTATTTTCCAATGATGTTTTAATAAATGAATTTAAATCATCTATAAAAATAAAAATAAATGGTAACAATGAAGAAAAAGAAACATGCATCCAAATTGATTTGGTCATTAAATAATATGACGTTGTTTAATATCGATAGGAATTTGTGTATCCTTATAGTATTTTCATATTAAAATACAATTTCAACAATTATTTTATAGTATATAAAATTAATAGTTTGGTATAATTAATACTAATTATATTTTAATTATTGGTAATTAAATAATATGAGCATTATTATTATTATATATATACAATTATATTGTAGGACCATTATTCATATGATAACAGTATGATACACAACATTATATTAATTACAGTTTATCATTATTTCTGACCTAAACATTATTGGAATCGAATACTTCAAGAAATCTTCATATGCATATGCATATATATATAAATTTATATTGGTCAATTATTTTAATATTTCTTTTTATTGTCATTGGCTTTAAAATACATAATATTAAATAATTTTGTATTATATTCTTTGGTTAATAATTTTGTAAAAAATAAGAATACACATTCTAATTCATGTTTGTTTTGTTTATAATATCAGTTAGATCAACGTCCATAACCAGTTACAATGTCCAAAATACATAATTTAATCTGTTATAAGAAAAATAATACACAAAAATCGGTACAGTATAAATTAAAAATATTTTTACCGTTCTAATATGTTAAATACTAATAATTTATTATGTTACATTAATTTATATTAAAGATGTCTGCTGCTGAAGAAACATTTGTTGGTGCTATTGATGAAGGCACTAGCAGTACACGTTTTTTGGTATGTATTAAATATAATAGTAATAAAATTAATATACTTAACTAATATTTTTACAAGGCCTTTAAATTAACCTAATTATTGTTTGATTTAATATATATTAAAATAATACTGAAGAATTAAATAGTTTACAAATTGCTTACTACTGCTATAGGACTATTTACTAAAAAAAAGAAATTGTATAAAATTATATATTTTGTAGGTTTTTTCTTCTAAAACTCACTTGCCAGTAGCTAGCCATCAAATGAGTACAACTAACATAACCTTGAATGAAGGATGGGTAGAACAAGATCCAGAAGAAATTCTAATGAAAGTCAAAGAAACTGTAGCTGTAACATGCGAAAAACTCAAAACGATGAACATATCACTTTCGGCTATTGCTGCGATAGGTGTGACAAATCAACGAGAAACTACTTTAGTGTGGGACAAGCATACAGGAAAACCATTACACAATGCTATAAGTAAGTACATTTTTGTAACTCTTAGTAAATACAATTAATAATAAGTAGGCTTTAGGAGTTTTAGAAGTTATATATTGTTCTATATGCTTTCAATTTATAGCAAATCAAGTAATACAATTTTGAGCTTAAAAATCAAACATTTGAAATGAATATTTTACATATTTTATAAATTTTAGGGAAAAAGTTAGTTTAAAAAAATTTTTTATTGGTTTTCATACACATACTATACATATTTAATATTTTAAAAAAAACTTTTCAGTTTAGTAGATATCAAACTGCAAACCTATTTTCCATAATATGTTAAAAATTTCTATTACATTTTTTTTCCATATTTAGTATTTTTTGTCTAAATTGTATAATGTTTCTTTTTCTTGTGTATATTTGTTATTTGCTTGCATAATTTGCCCCTTTTAGCTCCTATAACTTCTGAACCGTATACATTTTTATTTTAAATTAACAAAATATAAATTTTAAATAACTAAAATTATTTTAGTATGGATGGACATGAGGACACAACCAATAGTTGATAGATTCATGAATAAAAGAATTCCTAACTGTCATACACCAGATGAACAAAAAAGGTAAGTTAGTATTTAAATAGAACAACATATTATTATGCGCTATCATAAAAAAATAGTTTTTCAAACTTTCTGGGCCAATCATGGTATTAAAACTCTTGTCTTGATTTAATATATTTTTATTTAACTAATATTTCTAGACACTATTTCGTTGGAATTAGTTAACATAATTTTGTTTAATAAACTTAACACTGTTCTATTTAAATTTAAATTTTGCATTATTTACTATTCATCTCTTTTATTTTTCATTTTAAGATTAATACTATCAGATAACAACATAACAAAAGTATACATATTGTCATATAATTTTATCTAAGTTCTTATGCTAATACTAATATTTGCTTATGTTTTTTTTTTTGTAAATTTTCTAATAGGCATTTACAATTCAAATGTGGTTTAACAATGAATCCATACTTCAGTGTATTCAAATTAGTGTGGTTAATAGAAAATGTACCTGAAGTTTCAAAGGCTATTAAAGAAGAGAGGTGTATGTTTGGTACAATGGATTCATGGCTAATTTGGGTAATAACTAATAACCTAAATAAACTATCAAATCTAATAAATTTTTATTCTAATACAAATCAATTTAACATTGGTATGAATTCACAAACATTTTCAAACACCTTAATTTGTATGTTATAAAAACTATGAAGATTAAAACTTAATACAATAAGTTATAACATATTCTATTCTATTAAATGTTGGACAAGCAAATAAATCTTGTAACTAACTGTTAATATTTATTAATTTTTATTTTTATTAACAAGCAGGGCTTGGATTTATTTGTACTTAAAATACTAATAATAATACCTGCTCTGAAATATTTATGTTGATAGACTGAAAATTCTATAAGGTATATTTAATAAAAAAAATTGTTTTAAAATAAATTTATATATATATAACTTTTATTCTTATTTACTACTAATAAAATACATATTACAACTATATATCTAATAATAATTTCTAAAAAAAGTATAGCTTACAGTATTAATTGGGTAGGTAGATTTTAAATTTAACTATATTAGTTTTACTAAATTGACAGTTTTCATCAAAATCTATACTTTTTATTTTGTTGAAATATTACGTCAATTTTTAAAAATTATAAAATTATGTAATATTTTACAAGAATGACCTAAAAATTGTAAAATGTTGAAATATACTTAAAAGAATTTGTCATTTGAAACACATTTCTACCAAACTAGTTTTATGCTTACTTATCATACAATACAATTGATCAGTAAAAATATGCTAATCCATATAAATCCAATCCCAAATAATGAATTACACTTCTTGTTTATGTTGCTTGCCACCATCAACGTTTGATCAATTAAAAATTTGTCATATTGATATTGACAATTATTTAGTATTAGATATTATACTAAGTATCGAATAAATCAAAAATTAAACTAAATAAATATAAAACTCACAAGTTTGGTTTATGACTCCACAGTCCACATTTTCTTTTCCTGATAAAACTGAACTTCTGAACAGTATTCTATTTATTCTTATCTAGTAATAAACAAGGGGACATCTGGTCATCTGTTTTTTTTTCAACTGTGTTTATAAAATTTTCAGTAAAACTGTTGATATCTAACTGCTTATATACTATTAACAGTTTTGTTTATAATTTAAAATAATATTTTGTTTATTTTATGGGTCTCTAATGTGTACAAAAACCATAAATTATACATAACATAATATGTAATATTATTATTCTTTTTAATTTCAGATAAAAAAATTCATAAAAATAAAATATTAATAATTACATTCGACTATACTGTTTATTTTGGTTTCACTTGAGAATTGTATTGATTTAACAAGACAAACACATTTCTCTGTAAACAAAGTCAATAAATCAGTAGTATGTTTTTAAAATTATACATAATCAGTTTTAACTACACTTATTGATTTGCAATTAAAAAGTTTTGTAATTTTTAAATTAATTGAAATTATTTATGGATATTTTTTGTATAAAAGCTTAGCTCTATAAAAAAAAAAAAAACAATAATGTATAAATAATTAAAAAAAACATGTTTTATTTATTTTATTTTTTTATTATGAATAAAATTTTAAAAAATATACAGCAGCATTATGTAAAAACTATTAAGATACCTCTTAAGTATTAGTTTTGATTTATTATTTAGTATATTATACACAATCTTAGAAAAAACCAATTGTGCTGACTGTTGTTTTCTTTAAGGTCATTTTTTACTTTCTATTTGTAGAATCTCACAGGTGGTGTAAATGGTGGCGTTCATATGACTGATGTTACTAATGCTTCTCGGACCATGCTGATGAATATCCACTCATTAAGATGGGATAAGGCTTTGATTGACTATGTATATTTTTTAAAGAATCTTAAGTTTAGATAGATTTTAATATTAATTTTATAGTATTTATGTTTATATATAAATTGTTTTATTTTGAAGTTTTGATTATTAAGAGGATCATATTCGTTTATTTACTTAAAATATTTTAATTTCAACTTTTTTTTCTATTAAATATTTTCTAAGTTTAATTTTGTTTCTATTATCCTAAAACTGCTTAAAATAATTTAGTGATGAAGATGTTGAACTTTAAGTATCTTAAAATGCAAAGTAAATTGATTCTTCTTTCTTTATTATTTCTGTTAGTTAGGTTAATTAATTAAGTATGAATATGAAGGTGTTATAATATTTTTACTATGAATAATGTTATTGTAATTTATTTCAATTAAATTTCAGCTTTTTTGAAATACCAAATGGACTGTTATTTCCGGAAATACGAAGCTGTTCAGAAGTGTATGGTCATATGACCGATGGACCACTTAAAGAAACACCAATATCCGGGGTAATAAAAGAATTACTTTTAATTTTAGAGTTCATATTACCTTCTTTGTACATTCTCATTTATTTATTTTTTTCATTATTTATATATTGGTATAGTGCATTGGTGATCAGCAAGGTGCACTTATGGGTCAGATGTGTTTCTTGGCAGGCCAAGCAAAATGTACGTTTGGAACTGGGTGTTTTCTATTGTACAATACTGGTCGTAAGGTAAGCATAATTTATTTTAATTGTTTAAATTCAAAATTAAAAAAAAAAAAAAACTCAAGAGAATAACGACATTTAATATTTAAATATTAATTTAACTTAGCTCGTTTTAACATAAATTATATTGGTATTTTATTAAAAAGATGATAAATTATTGTGTTTAAAAAAAATAATATGCTAGACTCAATTTCCATACTACTTCAAAAACTGTCTGAAAACTCGTGCATGATTATAACTCGTGACTAAATTATTTTTGATTCTCTCATATTTAAAAAATGATAATCTATTTTTTTTATTCAGCCGGTAATTTCTACTCACGGTCTTTTAACTACTGTGGCTTACAAAATGGGGAAACACACCGATCCCATTTATGCATTGGAAGGATCTGTGGCTGTGGCTGGATCTGCTACTAAATGGTTGAAAGATAATCTCGGTATCGTAGAAAATTTCAAGAACATGGAGGAAATGGCTGAAAGTGTGGATGATACAAATGGCATTCATTTTGTTCCTGCTTTTTCTGGACTTTATGCACCATACTGGAAAAGTGATGCACGTGGGTTAGTAATATGATAACAATAAATAAAATATTTATTTTTTTGTAATAACTCAGTCACTGTTGAATACATGCCTATTTTATTTTATTTGTTTACATATTGATTTTTTTCTACATGAAAAGCAATAAATTGATTTAATTAATTAATTTAAAACAAAATATGTCGTACTATTTGTATTGTTTTTATAAGAATTTAGAAATAATTTTACCTTCGTGAATTCAACATTTTAAAAGTAAAACCTGAATTAATTTAATTTAATCGTCTTCTTTGTTAAATAGCACAATCACAGGGTTAACTATGGAAACAACAAACGCACATTTAATGCGAGCAACTCTTGAAGGAATTTGTTACCAGACAAAAGATGTTATGCAATCTATGGAGTCTGACACTGGCCATCCCATTACAGCATTGAATGTAGATGGTGGTATGTCTACTAGCAATGCACTTTTGAAAATTCTCACAAATGTTTGTTGTATTCCTATTGGTAAGTTATTTAAATCATATTTTAGATCAAATAAAATTTAATATTTTCTCTATCCTCATAAAAAAAAAAAAAATTGATAACTGTCATAATATTTTAATTGTACATAAAATAAAAATGTATACAAAATTATAGTTGGTAATTTATTTTATGTATTCATTGTTTCGACTTGACTTAATTATTCATTTGGTTACACAATTGATAGATAATCATAATTCTGTAATAGTAAAAGCAAATTATTATTATCAAAGAGTAATATTTGAAGCACACAGATTGTAGCATTTGCATATTTCTCTATGTGCTCTAAATCAGTAATTCTCAACCTCAGTCTATATTGTATTTAAAAAAAAAAAAAAAAAAAATGTTTTTAGTATTATATTTTTGAACCTAACTCCATAATAGTCCTACTAAATAAATCATTTGGTAGTCTGAACTTGAAATAGTTGAGAGCTACTTCTCTGAATTTATTGCAAAGTTTAAAATTGGTTTAATGATAAATCTAAAAATCTAAAATTAATAATTTGATTATTTATCTATTTAAAAAAAATATTATATTCAATGTTTTCTAAAAAAAATTAAATTTATTTTATGACATGTATTTAGTTTATAACTTCTCTAATATTGAAAATATTTTATGAATACTTTTTACCAATAATATTTTAACAGTAAAATAATTTAAATTACCAACTAGCTACTTAAAGTTTTCCACGCATTTTTAATTTAATATTTTACCAATAATACAAATACACTCATTAACATGAACACTTTTTGTTTTGAAAAAAAAATTGTCACATTTTCAACATTTTTATTTGAATAATTTAAAATTACTTCAACTTTATACCTGCTATAACTATAGAACTTAATATTTATTTTTGTCTGTTTAATTAGTGCGTCCTAAAATGGTGGAAACTACAGCTTTAGGTGCTGCTTTGGCAGCTGGCTTTGCAATTGGCATATGGAGCATGCACAGTGTTAAATCTAAATGTGACACTTTTGTTCATACTTTATCAGAAGATGGCAAGTATTAACTTAATTAGATATCTTAAAATTTTTATAAAATAATTGCAAATTTTTTAAGTATAATTAAGTATAATTAAATAATAATTTCTCATGTTTTAGATCAAAGATCAGAGTATGATATGTGGAAAAAAGCGATAGACTGCAGTATAGGTTGGAATAAAGATGACGAAGAAGATGAATATTATGATGACTTTGATGGTTTTTAGCTATTTATAATAATCAAAAGTTGAGTTATAAAATTTGTATATGAATTTTTATTACTATTTGTGTTCAAATTATAAGTTTATTGTTTAGTGCTAAAACACATAGAGTTAATAACAATATTTTATGTAATGTTTTATAATAAAATGTTTAAAAACTTACAAAATATTAAGTATAATAATAAAAATATTTTATTTAGAAAATTAATTTTTTTTTATAATTTCTGAAAACCAATTAAAATATGTCAATTTAATTTACCATCTATACCAAAGTTGGTAAATTGTCAAAATTGTGTGATCAGTTTATAAAAAATCATGTGTCACTATTATGTTTATATTTATAATTGATGAATAATAAACTTTGTCAAGATCAGGGTAAAGAAAGTCTTAACTTAAAAGAAATGTTTAAACATAAAGTATATATTTTTAAACATTTTAATAATATTTCCATATTAATCGGGACTTAACTTCTTCGCCTAATACATTATATTTTGATGTCTTTTTTTTTATTCCAATTTACCAATGAACTTCTTTTATACATTGAGTGAATATTTGTTAGTTTTAATGAAAAAAACACAAGAGGCACTAGCCACCCTTCGGTATACATATTTCTCTTTTTTTATTTGATCAAATTCATTGTAGGAAATAAACATCTACTCGGCTGTATATAATAATACACAAATTAAAAATATAGAACAAGCTATTTTTTATTTTTATTTCCCAAGTAAAAAATATGTCCGGAAGCGAATTCCAAATTTATAATAAGTATTTATTATTTAAATATGATAAAGAATTAATTCACATTAAATATACAGTATTTAATAACAAAATAAAAATATATTTGTGCGCAATTAAAATTAGGTCATTATTTATCACCCCTAATCTAGAGACTACATGATTACCACGGTAACTGTAATAACTTAAAAATAATGATTTATAATATAATATAATATAATATAATATAATGAAAATGTATATTAAAATTTGAAAACATGCACAAGTATGTTATTAAACACATTTTTTTTTTTGGAATAAATACTACATTAGTTTTACAAAATCATTTATTCATTTTATGATGCCATAATCAAAATGTTTGGCTATTAATTTTTTACACAGTATAAACACGACTATTTGGTCTACCGAATAATATTGAACTGTAATATATCAAACAATTATATTATGATTGAATGTGAAATAAAAAAAAAACACTTATAATACCTTTTAAACATAACTATATAATACCCTTAAAGAAATAAATAAATTAATATAAACCTACTAGAAACTTGTGATATTTTTTTATAAATTATGGTATTATTATTTTAGTAACTTAGAACTTAAATACAGGTACAATTAAACTTTCTTAATCGCTATCTGAGCAATTATTTGAATGCGACGTCTTCATTTTCTTATGTATATGTTTTACACTCGAACAACTGTCTGGCGTGCTCAAACCACTGTCTCCCTGTTCATTACATGGCTCATCGTCGTCATCAGAAGTCTGACTCTCATTTATCACTTGCTGTATAAAACATAAAAAGATTACATCAAAATAATAGTTATGATAAATAAGGTTAAAGGTCTTAAAGATTTAATAATGCCAAATTATTTAATTAATATTCAGTGGCCATATATTAAGAGGATAAATGCAATAAGTGTCCGGTAGTCTGAGTAAAATGTATGTGCATTTAGGAAAATTATCTTTTTAATGTATGTACTTTTAATCACATGAAATTACACCAAAATTAAAAAGAAATTTTAGGAAGAATATTTTCATAAACCAGAATTGTACACAAAGCAAATTATAACTGTAATAGCTAACATTGTACTACAATAAATATTAAACTATTATAAGATAACAACCAAAATGTAAAAAGTATTAATATTGACATACATATGATATTACAATATTGATGTATAAAATCTGACTTGTGTGTTAACTTCATCAAGAAATTAATTCACAATCATTTTGTAATTTGTAAATATTAAGAATGGATAGTTAATCAATGGAAGTTATTTTAGTCACAGGACTTTTAGCCTCTGGCACATTAATGATAGAAATTTAGATTCCCCGATTTTTATTAATATTTTTATAAAATTCTTTAGAAACATTAAAATAGTATAAAATTATTTATTGAATTTTGAGTTTTTTTTTTCTTTCTATTAATTATAAAAATTACAATAATTACAATCTTATCACCAGGTTTTTAAAAAGGTAAATAAAAAAAAAAAAATAAGAACTAAGGGACTAAACATTCTATAGGTAATAATTCCCGAAGACTAACTTGTTATTTAACTTTGATAAAATTACAGTAAATGTAATTTTTTTACCTTAAGTGTATTGACGAGTTCAGTAGTGTTTTCAATCAATTTCTTGCAAGACATGTTTTCTTCTTGTAAAGCAATAACCATGACTTGTAATTTTTCATTTGCGTCTAATACTTCTTCTAAAGCTTTTCTACGACGTTCAGCGATAACTTCCCAGTATTTTTCACTTGGACCAGCTATGACAAATACAAACAATCAAAAACGTAGAATTGATCTGACTCCACGGGATGGTAGAGATGTTTTTAAATACTTACCTACAGAGGTGAGATCTTCAGTAAGTAATTTTTTGTACAAAGACGAATTCACTTTAGGAACAGAAGATGTTTCTTTAACGCATACCTCTGTTTTGTCGAAAGTCGATTCCGATTTTATAGTTTTTACATCATTCCTATTCACAAAAAAAAAGTATGTAAATATTTTAAAAACAAATAAGTATAACGTCGGTAAACACTCACGCCATGTCCTGCGGTGTCCTGCCAGCACCCACTAAATTTTCTTTGCCACCACTTGAAGGTTGCAGATTGTGCAAAAACTTCCTCATGCCTTTCTTGGACACCTGAAATAATGTAAATAACAAAAAACATTATCGTAATGTTATTTTCACGCAGGCGAGCAATAATCACAACGACGGCCGAAACTCACTTTATTATTGTTATCGGTTTCCTCGTTCGCAACAGTTTTCAATGTTTTCATTATTGGCGACTTTGAATTTACGGACAGGACTATACTATTAGATTACGCGATTTGATGAACAGGCGAATCGGCGAATAAAATAAAATTAATACGCTGACACTTTCCAGTTTCAATTACACCGTCGACTGTCGAACACGGAACAAAATACAAATCGTTAATCACCGTTGTCATTTAATATTATTTGACGATAAATTTTTATAACCGTCGGTCCGGCCGGCCTTGTACGTGATACGGGCAGTGATGGTACACTAGTTCCGACACACACTTGGTCCACGGACCCAGACGACCTACGTCATTCGTACCCGCTGATAATGTAGAACGGAAAGGCCATTTAAATCCTCGCTATTCGATATGCGTTCCGAAAAAAAAGATCTAAACCGAGTAATACCGAAGTGCTTTTTCCAGTTTTCACTCCATACTTCCACAATAGTGTATCATATCTACCGGCCTGATTCTAATTTATTGTTTTTTGATGTTTTTGTACTAATTCGCAATATTGTTGTTGTGACTTATAAGTACTAACTACACACTGATTACCTACTTATCAGTAGGTTGAAACAAAAAAACGTTTTATCGGCATTTTTTATTTTTACAAATACTCGTTAAATACCTATTCCTAGTAATAATATTATTTTATATGCCCATCTACTTTTAACTGCATAAAAAATGAATATCATAAGTAATTAGGCAAACAACAATAAGATAACGCAGACAATAGGTATTGAATGTTCTTACTAATAATTTTATTATTATTTACTACATTGTACAAAACAATATAGGTAGATACATACTACGACGTAGACTAATGCATTCCAATACATGCCGAGGATACGATATTGTACTTAAATTATTGAGTAGATCTGACGTACTGCGCGTACTTGTAAATAAATGTCAAATCAAAACCAATGTACGGTGTAGCTGATTATTTTATAAAAACAAAATAAGTTACAAGTAGGTATGAAGTACAAAAAACCGGGCAGTAGTTTTAAATCTGATGAACACAATTGCGCATAATTATACTCTAAATGATTTGGCAAGGATCATCGCATTTGAACTCGTCGTTGCGCATCGATTGACTAGAAGAGATGGATATGACAAGAGTAGTCGGAAGAACCTATGTAAAAAAGCGCCTGAGTTTAGTTTAAAATTAAACTATTATGATTGAAACTTGAAAATCGTTATACCTAGATAATAAGAAATAAAAAATATTATAGGCTAATACTGCTAATAGACTAAGAAATGAGTTAGAAATGAGGTAGATAACTTAAAATTATAACTAATTAATTAATTATTTTTATTATATTATTACAATAATCACATAAACCACATATTTTATTGTATCTATATAATAACGAAATAACATTATCATGTAATTAGTAACCAATAAAAATTAATCGAATTAAATAATTCTTATTATCCCCAATGTAAAACGCATACCTACCTATCTAGGTATATTATACTTGATTTAAAATTGAAAAATATTATACGAAAACGAAATGTAAAATGTAAAACTTGTAAATAATTGTATTGTAAAAAGTATAAAATATTGTTAACGGTAAGTCAAATAACTATTGTATTTTTACAAAACTAAATTTGTATTAGACTTTTAAAAGTGTCCGTCTTAAGAAAATAAACCTCTTTTTTCGTAGATAGGTAGGTACTATTATGTTTTACCAAACTACAGTCGGAACTTGGAATAATAGTTATTAGTAATATCCTGAAAAATACGCGTAGGTCTACTCGAGGCTTATGGCTTTCGCTTGCCTTCGCGTGGACCGTATGTTACGGTGGCGCCAAACCCTATGTTAATGTAGGACAATTATTGTCCTACATTTAAAATTGATGATGGGTGAGTAAATCTATTTTGGTAGCTTAAACAACCGAATGTGTGGTGGGTAAGAGTTTGATTTAAATGTTTGTCCTACATATTTTTTTTTACTTCGGGGTCACTGCGTATGTAAACGATGTGCGCTAGTTACAAGCCACGGAGGAACAGGTTGCTTGAGTATTCACCTGATCTCCTAGAGTCGTCGACAGACCACCAGCCATACCTTTTCAATTTTGGACGGCGTGAGCCGTTTGGGCCCCCTATCTCTTTTATTTTAAATACACGGGCAATCTTTTAAGTGCGTCGGCATAAACTTACGTAATAATTGTTTCGCTCATGGATAACTATATATGTCTTCTTATCAAGGATTAGTAAAAAAGTGCACAATTTATTCTATTATCTACCAATAAAAAATTCACCAATTTAGTATACCCAAAAGTATTATCATAGGTTTTGTAAGAAAATTTTCTAAAAACAGAATTTATTATTATTTTTCAAATGCTGATTCACGGACGGAAAAAAAAATAATAAATTTTAATATTTTAAAAAACAAGCGAAAAAAATGTATTTAAATTAAATAAATATGGTGCAATTTCTAACAAGACTATTCACGGACGAACCCATGTAATTCAGCTAGTTTTTAATATATTATGTATAGCGAGCTGCAAAACTATTGAAATATTTTGTGGATGGCCGGATCGGTACAACTATTGATTATATTTATGTATAATAAGTAATAATATTGATAAATTTTATTATTTATAAAAATTGAAACTGCTTTTATTATTCAGACAATTTTTTAATTTAAAAATATATTTAATACATAAAAATTATCTTAATAGATTATGCCTATAATGAATATGGTGTTCAAAATAAATGTTGTAATTTAAAACAATGTATTTTTTTATTGCGCATTCTGAAATGATAGGTAACAATTTTGAAATGTATATACAAATGTGTATTAATACACCACTAGCTTGTAAAAAAAATTCGAATAATTCCGATACAATCCGGCCGAGAAATTTCGCTATCACACACTCATGACAAGATCATGCGACTCCGAGATGCCGAAACGATATGTGAATTAAATTTTCAATAACCAATGTTTTGTTTTTTTAAGAAATAACCGTCACAGGAGGCCTTAATTAGAAGTATACACGTGTACGTAATGCTAGAAGAAACATGATAAATAATAACCGAAAGTTTTTTTTTTGATCTCGGTTAAAGCGTTGGAAAATGACTGTTCGTTATTTTTCAATCATTGTTTATTTAATTTTTTTGAAAGGCAACCGCGCAGATCAGATCACATGGATGTATCCAATATCCATATATTTTATCTAATATATCAAATACTTTTATTTGATAACATACTAGCTGGTAGGTGCAGGGTTACTAATGTTACTATTGGACTGCAGCTCTATGAAACAATTTGGTAAATCTAGATATTCTAGATACCGATAAGAGTCTTATCATGAGTCAGTAACACAACGGTTAATTATGGAATTATGGATTAAACCGTTATATCTGTTGAGGAGTTTTTAAAACGTATTATGTATGGTGCAACCGCGCAAGTAGGCGAATTCACTCGAATGACATTTTGGCATAAATTCCTGTACTCGACGGACGTTGTTGTCTCGAAAATGTGAGACCCCGCATTTACCCAGCCCACAGTTGTACGGTTCTCGTCAAAATTTTTTAGAACGACAGTGTCCCGTGTTTCCACTGAATTAAGTATGCCCATTCAGTACTTACATTAAAGATAGTTTTACAAAAATATGGACTATTATATTTTACTATTGGTTGTTAACATTTTACCCGGGTGCAATAATTTACACGGGTGATTTCGTGTTTATCTGTATTTCGGGCGCGGTTTACAATCGCCGATAATAACAAAAACGATAATAATATTGTAATAACAGTGGTAATAGTAATAGTATAGTAGTAATAGTAGTAGTAATAATAATAATAGCACGAGACACGACCATCATCTGGGTCTTATCGCGCCTTTTGGCTTTTACACGGCCGACGAGCAAACGAGATCGCATCCCGCGGAATGGCGTCACTAATCTTTACGGTGTAAACACGATATCGCTAGTGACACCGCGACGGGTGTCTTCGCCGACGGTGACATCGATTTTATATGGACTGGTCATACTGATCGAAATCGGGAAAACTGCTGCCCGCTGACCAGTGCCCACCACGCTATTGGCCCTCCCGCGCATGGACGCGTCGTCGTGCAGTCGCAGTGTACGTGAATCGCACTAACGAGCGCGTCCCGTCCGGTGTCCGGATTCCGTGTGAACGGCGTGTGCAGAAATTTATTGTCGACGTGCGGGTTCGAGTGGTCAATAACGACAATAACGGTTGCGGCAGAACGTGAATCGGCGTCCGCGTATCTATCGTCGCGGTTGGTCTTCGCCGTCACTTCCATCACTTCCATCCGGCCTGCGGTGCGGTCGAACGTCTCCGATCGTCTGTCTGCGTGCGGCCCACCCGACTGTTTACTGCAATAGCGTGTGTAACACAACGTCGTCGTGTCCCGTCTCGAAGATGTCTGTCGTCACGATAAAATTAGAAAACGATGACGAGAACTTCGCCGAAGAGCCCAAGTACGACGCTCGCGACGACGTCGACATGTCCATACGGATCATGTTCAACGGCCGGGTACGTAGCACGACGTTTTACGTTTTAACCGTTACTCGAAAGCACGTTTACACGCGCGCGCCCGTTAATAATTGTTTATTGACGGCGTACCGCCGCGATTTAAACGATTTGGTGTTTTTTTTCTTATCCCGTGTAAATAATGTCTATTATTTAGCTTTGGAGAACGACGATCGAATCACACTCGTTTTTAATCTCTCGTCGTTTTTATTTTTTTTTTCTCACGTTTTGATTTCATTGCGAGGTACACAGGTGAATATTGGACACTTGCTGTAGTGATGGTATTCAAATAGCAGTAGTAGTGTTTTTTACAGGTGAATTATTTCCGAGTGGCAATCGCAGTCTGGCGTCTGCTACTCCAGTACCTGTGTAAATAACATGACGGTGACTGCAGTTGGTCACATTGCAAAACAAAAAAAAAAAAAAAACCGCTATTGTTCGTTACTTCTACTTGCCACTTGGTGTATTTGCTTCTGCTGTTTTTAGTGTTTTTACTTTTTACTTAGGAATTTCAAATCTAATGTAAACAATTATTTTAACACGTCTAAAAATATGTAACTGTGCTAAGCACATAGTAATTCCATTATGTATATTGCACAGTGATTCTAAAACAGCTAAAATAGTTATTAATTTTAATGCATGTAATAACAGTGACTGTTATTTTTCAGTTGCAGTATCATGGAATTATTACTATAACACTGTTGAGTAGGAGTTATATTAATTCACAGTGATTTTAAAACAGCAATAATTGTTTTATTATTTTAAGTAGTAGTCACTATTATTTTTTCTATAGTCACTGTTACTGCTATTGGAAAAAAATCATAGTGTACCATCACTAGACTGAACAGATTAAAATTAACTATACGTTTGAAGCAGGGGTCGGCAATTAAATTCTATGGATGTCCAGAAAATCAAAAAAAAATTTCGAGAGCCAGTAAAAACTCAGATATTAGTTATTAATTGTTGTGTTATCGCAACTATTACTGTAAATAGCAATAAATGATAAACACCATCCGAAATCTCCAAATACATCATAAAATAGATAAAATATATGTTATGTGTGAAAACCAGCATTATTAAAAAAAAATATTTTTGTGGTCTAATTATTTTTCCTTCACGGGCCAGATTTGGCCCACAGGCTGCCTATTGCCGACCATTGGTATAAAGTGTGTTGAATGAATGTATTTAAAATATGATGCTCTGTAAATATTTTTCAAAATTCAAAAGAATTATTCGTAATGCCTCAGATTGCTTTTTGATGCTTAATCATTATATTATTTTAATTATAATTTAAAATTATTAAACATTTATTTGAATATATTTTTAATCTCATAAATCATTAACAACTTTGTACTATTCAATTAATACAAGTGTATTTCTATATTAAAATAAACATTTTTTTTTTTCTTTTAATTATTTAATTTAATATTATTTAACACTTGTGTTACATTTTTTTAATTAGTATTTGTTATTGTTAAAAAAATAATTTTCTTGTATAATTAAGTAAGGAAAATTAAACAAATGTTAAAAAACATGTCAAGTAGATATTGATTTCTTATTAGGTATTTTTTAGATTCTTGAATGCATTTTAAATAGTTTATGAATGAAGAATTTAATTATTTTTAACTATTTTTACAAGACAAACAATTTTTTTTTTTTTTTATTATATATAATTAATTTACAATCTATACAACATTATGTACAATTAGCAAATTTGATAGTTAATGTAATATAAAGTTTTTTTTTATTTTAGTAGGTCTCTAGCCCACTGTCTTTTGAGTCTTCTGCGTACATTACCAGGAAGTGAGGTGGAAGAAAGTTGCTTTATTAATGAATTACTGTGAGAGTTTAAGTTGGAGTGAAATTTAGAGTAGGTAATGTGCTTTTGCTAATTGATTGAGTGTAGGAATTTTTAGGTCTTTGTGAAAATTATTTTTTGTGAAATACCAAGGAGAAGATGTTATTAATCGTAGGCAGATAGATTGAAAAGTTTGAAGCCTGTTGGTGTTAGAGGGCTTTGCGGAGCTCCATAACTGGATACCATATGTCCAAGCTGGTCGAATTATTGATTTGTATATAGTAAGTTTATTGGAAAGGAAAAGTTTGGATTTTAAGTGTGGTCTAAGGATATGAAGTCTAGAGTTAACAATTTTATGTATGGGCTCTAGGTTAAGCGTTTGTCCAGAGTTAGCCCAAGGTATTTAACTTTGTTTGCCTTAGGAATTGTTATATTGTTTAACGTAACAGGTAAAAAAACTAACATAACATAGGTATCTATTAAAAATGCCTATTACATGCTTCTCAGTTTTTAAGTATGGTATTAGATATGACCAACAGGAGAGCACAGTTTATGTTACTGTCTTAAATGATAATTAGTAAATTAAATTTTATTTTAATTTTTATATTAAAACCAACAGAACTCTCTTAACCCTCTCTCTTTCCTCTTAAGTGTTGTGTATATTAGACAATATGTGTATAGATTATTTACTATAGTGTATAGTCTATATATATTATTAATTTTTTTTTTTTTAAATACGTTACAATCTGTTGGAAAATAATAAACATTTTAGGTAAGTAGGTACTTAGGTAATATTAAGATTTATATTATAGACTATTGTGAATTTATTTAATTTATTTTAAAAATATAGTTAATCAATTATAAACTAAAAATGTACATTTTATTTTTATAATAAAATTTATAATTTTTATTCAATTTTAGGAAGTTGGAAATGTAATTGGCAAACGAGGTGACACTGTAAAAAATATAAGAAACCTGGTAAATAATTAAAAATTATTAAACTTATTATTAATATTACTAATTATAATTTAAAATATTTGTTTAGTCTGGTGCTAGAATTTTAATTTCTGATAGTTCCACTCTAGAACGTATTGTTCTTATTACTGGAAATAGAAACACAATTTTTAAAGCTACTGAACTTATTTGTCAAAAAGTTGAAGAAGTAAGAATTTTTATTTAAAAAAAAACTAAATTTTATAAATAATTACCTCTTAAATTTATTTTAGTTTTTTGAGAGACAACATGGTCAATGGAATGGCCCAAAATCACCTTTTACACTTCAACTAATTGTACCAGCATCTCAATGTGGTTTCATAATTGGCAAAGGAGGAAGTAAAATAAAAGAAATTAGAGAATCAAGTGGTGCTGCTATATTAGTAGGATCAGATATGTTAGCTAATTCAACTGAACGTTTAGTTTTAATTACTGGTACTTCAAGCTCAATATCTCTTTGTGTTTATCTGGTCTGCAATATACTATTGGATGTAAGAAAATAATGAATATTTATTTAAAGCTCAAAATAAATTAAAATATTGTGTTCTAGAATAAATCCAAGATATAAACTGTTTTACAGATATTAACTTAACTTAGTTATATATAATTATTAAATAATGAATAAGAATATTTAAATTTTTAAATTAGTCTTATTTCTATACTCTCATACATTATTCATGATAAGAACTGAATTCAGTGGCCGTTTGTATGCAAGGGTGTGATTTCACTATGTAACAAACTCCATCGTGATGATAAACTGAAATAACTTCACTTTTATATCATTATTCAATAAAAAACTGATCACTGCACTGCTCACTTCTTATCCTGAGCAGAGTATAAAGTACTAAAACAGGTAGATGAGTAAATAACTCAAAAAGGATTTAACCAAGAATGAGTCTTATGGTACTTATCTCATATAAAATTAATTTTGGGTGCTACTTACTTAGTTTGCTACTATTTTAGTATATTTTTACTAAATAGTGAAAGATAATGCTCATATTGTTTCTTTTCTTTTTGTAAAACTTATTTTTTTTATTATTTTTTTTTTTTGTTTCTGATATTATTGTATGTTTTATGATAATAATATAAGTATCTGCATAATACAATTTAAACATTTTCAGTCTCCTCCTCGTAATGCATCAATCCCTTATCAACCTTCAACGTCAGGGATTGCTTCTTGTATTGATGTAACTGATGTAAGTTTCCTAAAAATTAAAATACTAATTTTTTCTAGTTATTTATACTAGTTTAATTATTTTTGCTTAATTTTTTTGACTTTAGTGTAGAAGAGAAAGCAATATTCCTTTGACCAATTTTGCAGCTTTAGGGATAGGAACTTCATCATCTGGAAGTATCAATCCAGCAGGTATGTTGTAATATGATTTTCAATTTTAATTCAACAAAAATAAACTTACTTATAAACGTAAAATTAATATTCTTACTTTTAAATTGTATATACATTTAGCGTGTAGCTAGTAGATAATAATTGTATTATTGTTTCAAGGGGACAATTCTTTAAGAACTTTTATAACTATATGTTTTTTAATTTAATTGTAAATAATAAAGTAGATTGATATTTTCAATGCGATAAACGAAATATTACGTAGTCTACTTTTTGCATGAGTCTTTATTTAATTAGGTAAATAAAATAAGTAATAATTAGACTAATATTTTAGCCTTGACTGCATTAGCTGGAAGTCAGTTAAGAACTGGCTATCGTCAAAACGGAAATGTTAGTGGAGAACATAATGAACAAAATATCAAATCAAATATTGAGACAATATCAATGACTGTTCCCAATGAATTAATTGGGTGCGTCATTGGTAAAAGAGGAAGTAAAATCGCAGAAATTCGGTAAGTTGTTACTAACATAGTATCCTCAATACATAAAGTAATTACTCGATGCCTTAATATGAAAATGTATATTGGTAAATACTAATCAATATGATTATGGCGATCTTTGTCATACATGACATTGTTTTCCTAAATTGATTAATCTATATCATATATTTTATTTTGTAAATAAATATAAAATAAAACATTAATTGGTCTAGTTACTATAAATTGTTATTGTAAACATAGTTTCTAACTCATATTTATTAAACAATTGTTTATTTGGTAAATTCTTTAAAAAAAAAAATAAATGTATACACTTATACTTAAATTACATTTTTTTACTAAAAAGATACTCTTTATCTAGAATCTAAATCAATTAATGGTAATATTTGATATTAATTAATTTATTTTTAAAAAAAATTATAAATAGTAAATAATATACTGTATATATTTATTTTATATAGACAAATAAGTGGCGCTAAAGTTCATATACATAAATTTGAAGGAACTAATGAAAACGGGGAGGATTTAGATCGCCGTATAAGAATTACAGGAAACAAAGAATCTATTTCAATTGCTAAGTACTTAATTGAAATGAGGTATAACTTTATTTTTAAACTAAAAACACTATTTCCAGAATCATAGTTGAGAATGAGCTTTCCATGTTGATATCATTAAATCCCTAATATTGTATTTTATTTTCCTTTTTTTATTTATCATTAATCCCAATTTATTCTCTAGTGTGACTCTGCAAAAAGCCGCCAATCTTGAAGAGGTTAAATTAACCTCTAGTCCTGACAATGGTTCCAGTTCAACTTCATCCACTCCAACTATGCCTCAACTATTTGCCAAGCCAGATCCCATCACTACCATATCCAGCTTATATGCTTATATAGCCTTAACTGGTCGTGCCCAACGATCCCCTCCAATACAGACCACAGGTGTCCACCGTCCGAGAAATTCTTTAAAAAGAAAGCGCAGTCCTTCAGGTGACAAAACTAATGTGGAAAAATCAAAGGTCGTTCATCACTGAATGATAATTGATTTCAAATCCTAAAACAATTTCCATCATTACTCATTAGGTTTTCTTCATATTTTAGCTTTATTATTTTAAAGCTTTCATTATTTTATTTAATCATTTTCAAAAAAACCTATAATTTTTGAGTGAAGAAAATTCTAAAAAGCCATTTTATTTAATTATAAAATAATTGAATATGTTTATGAAGTCTCAAAACCTAACAAATTTTTTTCACGGGTAAAATTAATGCATTTTAACAGTTGAGTAAATAATTTTTATTTAATACATTTTATTGTCTATGTTAATATTTACTTTTTATTTAAAATTGTTTCCAATAAGTACTTACTACTTAGTCTTAAGCTTTTACATTATATCGTTGTAAATCTTATTGATGATAAGTATTGTATTCCTTATTTTATTTCTTAATTTTTAACTTATTAATTTGAAATCCAATAAATAAAATCTGCTCTATATATATTTATTGATACTAATTTTTATAATTTATAAGGACTCAAAAAATAAAAAAAAAACAGTTTAACCCAAAATATTTTTGCTTATTGTTAATTTTTTTTTTAAATTTAAATTGTTTATATTTAAGTATTCAATTTTAATTTATTTTTTCATTATTTTTCATTATTTGTGTCCAATTAACCATAGATATCAATAATTTTATGACTTATACCTTTTTTTATATACACACTTGAAAATCTAATCACATGTGAATAAAAACATGTTTTTGTTAGAAAGAACACATGTCATATATTATATTTTTTTTGTAATTTGTACTAAAATATTATATAGTTTAACAACAAGTATACTCAGCTCAATAGAAACTATTGTTTTTTTGTTTTTTTTTTTTTGCTAACAACACTGTACCGATTACCTATGCCAATAAGTATTATTTTGTGTCATTTATATCCAATGATATATTCTTTAAACAATTAAATTACAATATTATTAGTTCATATCTAGAAAATCCTTGTTAGAAATTATTAACAAAATTAATTTTTTTCAAAACTAGTATTACCGTATTATTTCCAGTTTTTTCCTACATCTTTTTTTGTTTTTGAACTTGAAATATTAATAATTTTTAATTTACAATCAAAAGCCATTTTTTAAGTGGTACATTTAAATTACTTTTTCATAAAGTGATGCAGACAAAAAAGAAAAAACTCATTTTATACTCTGCACTGTTTGTTCAGAATATTAAAACCAACTAGACAACTACCAAACTAAATTTTATTAGAATTTACTTCCGTCTGGTTAAGCATCGTAATTAGTCTTTAGGCTTCTTTTTGACTATTAGTTGTCAGCAATTATAGTGCACATTGATGTACTATATATATCAATTGAACCCGTTTGAAGTTTTACTATCCAGTCTCAGATTGTCGACAGCAATTTGCATTCCTTAATAAGCAATTGTTTGACTAATATCTTCTTGAACCAATAAAAATGTAGTGAAGATAATATCTACATGGATTAACTAGGTATTGATGTACACAATTCTAGTAATTGATTATAGCCAATAAAAATTGTGTCACTTATCCGCTGATTGTTTGGTATGTAACTCATATAATATATGTTTGTGATGGGTTTTGTTTTTCATATTTAATGTATGATTTTATTATTATTATCATTTCTTTATTGACGGGTGAACTCCGTTTACTAAACATTAACTTGGTATTAAAAATTTACAATACATAAATTGTATTGTAAATAACAGAAAATTAATTGTAATAAATAAACACGTCGATTAAAATATTATAAATTATTAAAAATATGATATTTCTTAAAGTATAAAATGGATGAAACACAAACCTAAAAACTAAAAAAAACTCAAAACAGGTTTGCATTTATATACGAAATAAAATTTCAAAACTAGCTTTGTGAAAGCATGAAACGTATTTGTTTCGTACCTACTCCGTTGTTTTTGTGACTGTTCAAAAAAATTATGCAAATGCTACAAGTCTTCTGTTCTACTCATGACAAAAACCTAACCACGGTTTTGTTTAAAATGAGATGGGTGAGGGGAACACAGCGGCGCCACCAAATCGCATGATAGTTTAATCGACTGTTTTTGGGCAATTTTTGAAGTAATACAATTTTAAAATGACATGTTTTATGTTTTAAGAGCATATTTTGATATTTATTGGGCATTTTTAGTGTTTTTAAGGTCAGAAACATCCTAACCATAACCATAAATGTATATTGATATTTAAAGGAATAAAAATAATCATTTGAATTTATTACTAACCGTGAATTATAGTTTTAATTTTTAAGATAATATATTGAAACTGTAAGTTTAAGAATATATACAGTGATAACCAATCTCACTTAACATAGCTTAACAAAAATAACCCATACAATGGATAAAAGATTGATAAATTAGTATATTATAATATGTTCCTTGTCGTCTATCAAAAATCCCTGGTTAAATAAATAAGAAAAATATTTATTGTTTTACGTATATATAAATTAATTTACATTTTTATTTTACTTGCAGTGTAACTCTTTATTTTAAAAATTTAACATTTTTTCACGAATGTCAGTAACTTGAGATTAAATTAAAAATACTTAAATAAAAAAAAAATATGTTCTTTAAAATATGTATATATATATATATATATATAATAAGAAAACAAGTCACATAAAAAATACTAGGAACCTAAGACTCAATTAACTAACATAATTTTCATACATAGTATAATACCGTAACCATCTTAATAATTAATAACTTACAATGCCATATTATTATGATTAGTATTTTATTAAAAATAATAGTAAATATAATAAGTTAAAAATAAAATTATATACATCAAATAATAATAATAATAATAATAATAATAATAATAATAAAACTATTATTCATATTTCATTAATTTTTAAAATAAATTCCTATACATAATGAGGTATAAAATTAAGATAGGTAGTAAAATTTTGAAAATAATTACACACAGAACAATCACTCAATTCTTATTTTTCTAAAGCTAATAGGTCGTTTTTCAATTAATAATGTAATAAAGTTATTATTAATTTAATATAAATAGTAATCGGTATATAAAAACCAGTGAATGCTATTTTAAAATTTAGAAGCGCAATTAAATAATTTAAAAAAAAAAAATCAAGATATTCATTACATGTATTATAAGAAAAAATTTTTCATTTACATATAAATTTTTGTTTGTAACAACTTGATAAGTTTTCAGAAGTTTAACAAAAAAAAATTTTATAACTTAATATTCTTACAAATAATTAATAGAAATAATCAATAATATTTTAGTTAATGTAAATGTATGCCAGTATAAGTAGTTGGTTAAGATATTAATAACTTAGATATTTATATTTTATCAGGATAGATATTTATTTAAGTAGTAAAATAATTATTTTCAAAGAACAAAAATATACATTTAATATTTTTAATATATTATGAAGCAACGCTATTTAAAATAATTATCATGGTTGATTTATAATAATCTAATTAAACTTTATAGATAGTTTGTATTTAATAACAATTTACACTTATCATTGAAATTAATACAAAATTTATTTAAACTATGTATTTAAACCTCAAGTAAAATGATAAATCAATCAAATTAAACTTCTATTAGTACTTTGAATTAGAACTTGATTACACTTGAATAATACTGAAAATTGAGTTAGAAAACATGTAACAACTTTAAAAACCACTTTTATGTTCCCTATAAACCTATTTGAATATTATCATTATTATCATTATAAATAATAAATTTTATCAAAAAAAATAAATAATATATACATTCATGAATATTAAATATAAACGTGACAAAGTTACGTGTTTGGAAATTAATTGTATGATACTAATATCAAAAAATTAATTATTTTTAAACATTAATTTATGTTTAATGAATAGTAAATATGTTACAAGGTAATAACATATTTAGTCATTGAAATAATTTATGTGAGATGACATAGTAACATATGATAACATAAAAATGAAGAGTAAATAACAAAAAAAATGGTGGTAAGTTTTGCATAAACTGTATTGATAGTTGAATTGTTAAAATCTGACATATTTGCATGATTTGAAATCATAAGGATCATATTAATCTAAAGAAATACAAATATTATTTGTTAAACTATTTAAAATTGTAAAAGAAATGAAAGTATTTTAAGATTAAAATAAAATAATATCTATCTTGTTTTAAATCAATGTTTTCCAAACACGCTATTAATCATTAGTTCATATAAATTCCTAAATTGGTAATTTGATCAATATTAATAAATTGCCATGAAAAATGATTATTCATAAAAATCTTTAAAAACAATTGAGTATACAATTTTTAAACTTATCAATCATTTTTAAATGTATAACTATTAGATGCAAATAATGATATTATTATTTAACAAAATTGTTAGAAATCATGTAGTTACTTGAACATCGTGTGATGATGATTCAAGAACTTCCATTAAGAACGTATCAATTGGCGAATCCCCAATAAGTTTATAGAAGAATAAATGTTCCAAACATTTTAAGCCAATTGAACGTAATGAAGGAAGTCGAAGAAGTAGTTTAGCAAATCGCCCCGGTTCTTCTGGATGTGTTGTGCGACAATATTCTTCTAACGCAACATAAACCTTATCACGTAGTATTTCCACTTCATTCACAGACTGTAGACCTTTTGAACCTAATACAAAAATGTGGAGTATTAGTTGTAAAAAAGAAAAATGATAAATTGATATTTTTTTATTAACTATTAGAAAATTACCTGGATTAAAAAGAATAATAGTGCGCAGACAGCCAAGTTCTGTTCTATCCATACCCATATCTCTCATTTTAGCAACGAGTTCTGTAAGTACACGATCAAATATAGCTTCAACTCCAGCTTGATGAGCGGAATCTCTATCGACAGTAAGTCCAGTAGCTAAGACTATACCATCTTTTACACTGATCGATCTATGGGAAAATGCTGCAATCATCAACTCATTCCAACCTAAAAATAAAAAGTAATAAAAATCAAAATTTTGTATGCTACAAACAATTTTGAATATGTGTAATGTATATTCACTAACCAGCTCTCAATAACAAAACTTGATCTCCTAGAGGTAAATTTTTAAAATGTGGTATATGCTTGGCCCACTCAACGAGTTGTATTAATTGTTTGTCAGTTGCTTGGCAAATAGCACCAACAGTATGTTGAGGATGCTAAAAAAAAAAAGGTTTTGTTAGCTCAACTGTTGTTCACAGTATAGAGTATAATAAATAACATCCTTACTTGTTGCTCTATGTACTGTTGTTCAGTCTTTATAGCATCGGCTTTATTCTCAGCCCTTAAAATGAGTTCCACAGGCATGTCAGTATTAGAACTGCTTGTGGGTTCAACTTCGATATTATTATGATCTCGATCTTTTGTACGCTGCCTTTCTTCCTATAATGTATTGAAACATATACGTATTACTTACAAATTATAACATAGAAAAATAAATACTTTTTTTGTACTTTATATTATTTATGATATTTTAATCAATATTCTTACATATTACAAGTAGAAAAAATGTATATTTAAATAAAATTAGTATACAACAAGCAATGAAGTTGTACCTCCGTAACATACATATACATTTAAAGGAAAATTTATTAAATACAATTAAAAAGTTAAAATATTGAAAATTAATTTTATTTATTTAATCTTTTTGTATAGACATTATTTCATAAATATCAAACAGCCCTATTTGTAGAATTTTAAATGTATAGCGCAAGATTAGGTTAACATTTCATAAAATTGAATAACTAATAATAATTAATATGAACGTATTCATATGGGAATTTGTGTCGAATCAGTTTCTGAGATTTAAATATGTGTTTTTTAAGTAATATTTAAGTACCTATATCAAGTTTTGATATTATAATGAATTTAGTTAAAATAAATATTGTTTTATTGAAAAATTTTACTAAGTCAGATTTAGATGGTATACAACATTTTATGGCATTAAAATATCAATTTTTAAAAATAAACTAATATTTATTTTTATTATTTATTTACTACAAAAGCGTAAAATTACAAACAAATGTTAAGTGTTTTTATAAACTTAGGAATTTTTTATAAGTTTTCATGACATTGTTATTACTTATTTATATTTATTTGTTTTATAAAAATATCATAAAAATTCAGAGAATCCACTCCTTTAATATAAGTATCAAAATGGAGACACCTAGAGGCTAGAAATATGAAATGTATCTACTACCTACTCCCTATACGCCACTGATATAAGCACAAAATTGTCTCAAACTACTTGCAAAGACGGATATTGATAATAACACACCTGGACGGCTTCTCTTTTCATGCCCATGGTCAAACACTTTTGATACCTGCAGTACTGACATCGATTTCGTTGGCGTTTGTCGATGATACATTTGTTTTCTTCACGACATGCATAAGACAAATTTTTCCTCACGGTGCGTTTGAAGAACCCTTTGCATCCCTCACAACTACAGAGAAGTAAATTAATTAATTGGTCTTTTACATAAAAAAAAAAAAGAAACAAGGACATTACCTGTAGACTCCGTAATGTTTTCCACTAGCACGATCTCCACATATGGAGCACAGATGTTTCGAACCACTGAGTGGATGGTTGGGCGGATAATTTGGAGAGTCTTGTACATTGCAAGAATTATTCATCATATTGCTCCGGTCAACGGTGTATAATCTACATAAACCAGAAAATTTAATTTAAATTCACTACAAATTAAGTCTATTACATTTATTTTTAATAAATATTATTCTTTTTTTAAATTATTTGTTAAGAACTAATTAAGTTCATAAACAATGTAACATTAAAATAATATATTATTTTTAAAGTCAAATATATACAAAGTACAAAGTATTACTTTCTGGTACTTTCAAGAGTAGTATAATAATCATATACTACAATGCAAATTTATTTTTTGATACTTAAATTTTAATACGTCAATAGGTCAACAATCAATACCAATTAATGATTGAATAATAATAAATAAATATATACACATAAAACACATAGTACATTATGAATTATTCAATAAGATGTTTTATATTTCATATACCACAATATGTCCTAAAATTAATTTTCAAATTTTGTAACAATTCCCATCTAATCTGGAAAATGTATTAGAATATTTTCTATACACTATTTTATTATCAATGGGATTTAGTGATATATTTTTAAAAGTTACAATATTTTCTAGTGTATATATAATTCATCAATAGAAAATTTAAATGAAACTTTGTAATTAAGTATAAAAAAAACATATTTAAAAAAATTTAAATACAAAAACGAAATTTATATTTAAGACAGTTAGCTTGCTAATACTAATAAGTATAATAAATATAATAGATACTCTAATAGTGTACAATTAGTACAGTCAATATTTAACTGGGAGGTAGATGTCACAGTAGATTTTCAACAATTTAAAAATTATAACATTGATAAAGTATAAAATACAGTGTACTTTACTTTGAACTTTATTATAAAAATAAATAGTATAATTTATTTAATTACTGTAAAACTTCATATGATTTAGATACTAAATGGTTAAATGTATACCACTGCTTACTTATAGCCTTAATTTTATAAATGAATATCATAAAAAGGACTACTTTTGAAAAATATTGACATTTAAAAATAAATTTTACAACAAAATCTCTGGCAAAAACTAAAGTTCATATGTTAAACATTTTAACATTTTACATAAAATCAATTATATTACATAAATATAATATTATTACTATAAGTATGTTTATGAATTCTGATTATATAATTGCATTTTTTAAGTATAATGGATCAATCAAACATTTTAAACTTCTATACAAAGGTAAAAATTTCAAGATATTTTATTTACAATACAAGAATTTACAGTTACAAATGTAAGAGCATACACAGAAATATTTAAATATAGTTTACTAAGCAGCAATAAAAAATCATTTGAAGTCTAAACATGTGGACATTTTTATTTAAAAGATCAAACATATCATACCTACTAACTAGTATGTATATAGTATTTACTATTTAATATAATTATTATACTTTACTACACATTAAGTCCTCTTATTTAGAGGTATTTAATTAAGTGGAAGAGTAAATACTAATCATTCACAATTAAATTGTTAAATAAGGGGAAAAGTAAATATTTGTAAAGTACTGATGAGAGCTTTTTACTATTTTCATTTTTTTTTTTTTTACATTTAATATTATATTATATACCCAATTATATTAATATTTTATTTTATAACACAGTTAAAATACAAACACTGCAATCCATCATTTTTTATGGTTTAAAGTAATAAAAGTCAAGTGATAAAATAAAAATAAAGTAGGTACTTAATGGGCTTTAATAATAATACAATACAATTAGTATACTTAGGTAAATTAATTAAATTTACTTAGTCTCTAATGTTCATTATATTCAAAAAAAAAAAAAAAAATACTATAGTCGAGGTTAAAACAAATAGGTACTTCATTTAAAATGCTATTATTATCTTTCTCAGAGGCAATAAATATCATAAACGGTATATTTTTAGGTAGTTAAAATTTTCACTTAGAATGTCTTAAGAACTCCACAATAAATTTAAACAATTTTTTACAATTATACTGTTTTCAGACAAAGCGTTAATTCGACCCATCATAAAAAATTACCTGTCACTTGAATACATGGTGTACGAATTGGAATACATTTTGAACGTCTTCAAAAACTCCAATTTAACGTAAAAATAATAATAATCGTTGAAAGACACTGTTTGGACTGAACACTGAGTATATAACAAAGCCGAAAACTGAACACACACTATTAAAATATTATGGTCGTTGAACAGTGCAAATACTATAATGATAAACAGGCAAAAATTATTTGTCAGCCAAAATAAATGTTTGTCTTTGGTTTACTATGATATATACTGCGTACACTGAAATATGTACTTACTATGCTAAAATTAATTTACAACTGAGACGTGCACACGACGAGAGCATTGCGAAATAATTGATGAATACGGCTTGTTAGTGAAAAAAAAATCGTATAAACACAACAATGACGATTTATATTGGTTATAATATTAGGTCATTTATGTTTGTAACACGTCGACGGCGCATTATTGATAATGTTAATAATATGTACATCGAGCTCGACGGAATATTAGATAATATTATGGTATTCAATATTTACACTACAATAATATGTAGTATTGTAGAATATCACCTATGTTATGGTAAGTTGGATTTCCATGAAAAAATAAAATACTATCTATTTAATTAAATGTTAATGTATACGTGTAACTGCATGTATTGTCCTATACATTATACATTTTAAAATACCGACGTATACATCGAATCAGACGAATTCAATTAAAAAATTAGATAATGAGAATATAATATCGGAATGAACAATTATACATTTTTTTATCGACCGGTTTTATGATTAGATAGGTATACACATTACACATAAACACATATATGTAAATAAACTTCGTGTATAAGGAGGTATCAGTGCAGATAAATAACGCAAGAATCCGGATTTTTATATAAAAAAAAAAAAGTTCTATAAAAAAGCCTATCATGCTTATACTCCATACGTATAAAAAGTACTTGAGTGAGACAAAACCAGTAAACTATGCATGCACACGATTTTATTTTGCATGTATATGCATAATATAAAGTTGTAAGAAATAAAAATATTTCTTATTGTGAGGTTATAGATATAATGAAATAAGAAATATTTTGGTTTATAACAAGTATATTCATTTCAGAATTGATTTTGTCAGATTAAATTAAGTTGAACTCTCAACTTGAGCCTAGTAAAAATAGTTATACAATTGTTTATAATTGAATGACCAATAAATACCATAATTAATAACAGTTAATACAAATAATAAATGGACAACTCAAATAATTTATTTTGTTCTGTTTTTAATATTTGTAATTAAAATTATTAACCCTCATGTCCACCTCTAATCCACAGATAAACGAAATAAATGACAACATAATAATATTAAGTTTTCAAAAAATATAAATAATATAATACCGTATAAATGTATAACATATTTTATGTTTATCAATGATATAAAAAAATAATTATAAATTGGTTATTATTCTTCTTTTACGTGAGTTACAAATATTTTCTAACACAATATTTACCTATTTGCTTATTATAGGTGTTGATTAATAAATATTATACAGTAAATTTATATTTTATTCGCCTATGCTTACCCTGCAGGGCTTAGAGGATCTCCAGGAGGGCTGAAATTAACCATTAGAGTGGCCGTATCGGGTTTGAGGTCTAAAGGCGACTGAGGACCCATTGAACTCAGTGACAGATTATTATCCAATCTTAAACCTGTAAAAAAACATGAATAAAATATTAGTCATTAAATATAAAATATATAAAAGAAGTACAACCTAAATGATTGGGTTAAATTTTAACGAGTATTTTATACCTAAATTATTATATCGACATAATGTAAATTTACGCGTTTACTTGAATAATATACATACATATTATAAATACCTATACTACAATATTAGTTGTTAATTATTACATAGCTACGGTTTGTTCAGTACACATAAAGGAAGGGCGCCGTGAGGGATTAATTTAACTACCCACTCAAGACTTAAGGTATAAAATTTAATCTATGTACAATATATTTATATACACACAATTCCACGAATGGGAAGAGCTTATAACTGCTGTTATCGTATAAAATATAATTCATGTACAATATTATGTACATAGGGTTCACAAGCAATGTGTGCAAAATCACATTGTACACAAATTCGACCGAATTCCTATGAGTTACTGTATTATTATATGTATTTCATATGTATATACCTACGTACCTACTATAATATGTTATCATTAATAAGAAAAAACTATTTTTTTCTTGCACCACATGACTTAAAATAATGTAAGAAAAAAATATTTTTAAAAACGTTAAGACTTTTTGACATGATCAACCCAGAAAATAGTATTAAACGTCAAAATTAAATGCAATAAAATCGGAAAAATTGTTAGAAGTAGAATAGGTCCTAACCAAATTAATAATTAAATAATGATTTTTTTCCTAAGTATTAGTATACGCATTCATTTGGATCAGCATATTGAATCCAATTGATGATTGAGCCAATCAAACCGTGAGTCGAGTTATAAACGATAGGACTTTTCATCGAAAATACAAATACGGGTAATACTGATTACATGGATTTTCGCAACTACGCGCATAACAATATATTATTATTATTAATTATCATAACAAAAAAATCAAACCAGCTAATTAAGACATAATATTATTAGATATATTAAAATCAAACACTATATTATACTTATCTCATTTAAATGTTTCTTGGAAAATTACCATATACATGACTATATGAGCGACAAATATAAAATTATCAGCGTGCGATTTTCATTATTTCTTTTTTTTTATGCATATAAACACGGACATCATTTCTCGTACACACGATATATTGCAATAAATACCACAGCTATGAATGATGTTTTACAAAAATAGCAACAATATAATGCCGTATATATTATAATGTATTATATTATAGTAGTATAATATAATATTATACACATTATATCTGTATACATAAATATTCTATACTACGTGCTACTGTGAAATCGTGGAACTATAGAGTAACATTGTACATATCGATACATGTAATTTACATAAATATTGTGTATAATATAACAATGTAATTATTATTATATAATAATGTACATATTATAGTATCGACGTGTAAATTGAAATATCCATATGATAAAATGTTTACACTAACATAGTAATAACTAATATGTATGGTAACCTCGGGAAACACGTACTGTTCACACAAAAGTAATAATTAAATATTATAAATTAAAAATATACCTACTAATAAAAATATTAAATTAACACACTAATCATGCCGTCGAAATTATGCAAAATATTTATATCAACTGAATTTTAAAAATGTAAATTGATAAAAATTGTGATATTATTCAACTCAACACAAAAATAAACTAACGCAGGCTGAGAACGAATTGCATAGGCAATATACGTGAGATGGATATTGAGTTTGTAATTTGACAATCATAGAAACATTAGCAATAATGACTAGATATTTAACTTAAAGTGGGTACCAATAAATTTTATAAATTGAAATTATTTTAATTTTACAGTCCATATTTTAGCCTTGCAAAATGAGCTTATGGCAATGAATATGGTCAATATTATTATGTCACATTTATGTCGCTCTGTTTTCCCGAGTATAAATGTATTAAGAGCGAAAACTCTCCTCGACCTTCACCTCAACAAATTTAATGTAAAAAAAAACGCATGTAAGTAGCATTATGATACGACCTTGAATACTTTTATTCACTACATATAATAGGTATCCTCTTTTCAACCGCTGACTTGTATGCCCTTGATTTGTTATATATAGTTAACAATAAAAAAATACGTTGAAAGAAAAATGAATAAAAACAAATTTTAATTTATATTATCACATAATATCATATATTTTTTGTGTTGTATATTCACAAAGAATAACTCGACAGCCAATAAATACATAATATATATACCAAAATGCATATTGTGTTTTAGGCAATAAATTAGGTACACTGAAAATATAGTGTTAATTAACACAATGTCCAAAGTTAAGATTTTGATAAGTTCAAAATGATTACCAATCATAATCATTAATAATGGGACGTCTGCGATAATGTTTTATATGTACCTATAACTATTGGATTACGCTAATTATTATTACGAAGAATAATCGAGAATATTATAGGTGGGGGTACCTACTATCTATAATATATGTAAATATATCTACATGGATATAAATACCTACTATTCCTTAATTAGGTTATTATATTCACACATTAGAATCAGATAAATTGCAGTATTCAAAATTGCTCAATTTTAAATTGTTATATTAATTTGTGTTTTCATTAAAATGCATAAAAAACTATTTATTCTAAAACATTTATACAAACAAAAAGTTATTTAAGATCATAGATACTTTTAAATGTTATATTCTAAGTGTACCTTGTCATTATTGAGTATAGATCATTGTAAGGAATGAGATAAATTTTTACACACGAAAAATGATGTGTCACTGTTCTCCTTCTAGAAATGTTTCACTTCGATCTTTTTTAAAAGCATTAATATCTTTTTACCACAAAGCACCAATTATTACTAGATCTAATTAACTACCAGAAACCAACTTTGAAGTTGAAGATTAATTTAAAAGAATTTTATCATTTCTATGTCTGTCGACAGATATAAAAAAACAACCACACGTATGATTATTACAACACCAAAACAATAAGTTTATGTTTTTACATAGCTTCTCCCAATTTTAAAAGGAAACTATAACACAATTTAATACTTTAAGAAGTAAGGCCAGATTATAGGTTTACATTAAAAAACGCGACACACTCATTATCACTATCTTACGCACACAAATAACATACTATATGTGCTTTACATTTCCAACTTACTAATTATCAGACCATAACATTATCCTTAATTTCGTTGAATTTTCTGGTATTTTAACTTTAAAGTGATGAGTCAGATGTATAGATACAATATAACAATTAAAAAATACTTATAAGTCACTTTAAAATTGTATCATTTTTAAATTTAAATTTTATTACAAAGTAAATTTCCACTTATTAAAGTATATATATATTATTGAAAATAAGGAACATATACCTATATTGCAACATATTACGTTAGTATTTTATGTAACTTTATGAGGGTAAGATAGATAATGGACGCATGTAGTGTAACATGTAAAATGTATTATAATTTTGTTTTTGTTCGATACATTTTAATGTGCGCATACTATAATAATATAATATAATTTAATTGCAATACAATATATACATAACTATCAATGTTTCGACTGTTAGTTTATAATAGTTATATACAATTTTAATGATGTAATTAATAATTAAATTATAAAGTTTAAACCTGTCTTCAACAGTTGTTTAGTTGACAGACGCAGAAGGGACTCAAGTATCATTTAATCCCCATATACTAAAGATATTTTGTAGAAAATATCATATTATAGTTAACTACATATACTGTGCAGGTTCATTTGCACTAGGAAATATTTAACTAAATTACATTTATATCTTAACTCTTCTTTTCTAAAAATTTATCCGGTAATCGATCTAACGCAACACTTATTACTTTAAAGACTGTTAACTATTTTAAAAATATTTTTTTCATAAATAAAAATAATTAAAAAATATCCTTTTTTAAAAGAAATTATAAATTTTTTTCACTTTTTTTAAAGACATTATGAATTTTTTATTTCTTATTTCAAAGCAAAATATTTTTAAGAACACTCCGATACATAAAAATCGAATTTTGGACAAGTAATTATGAGCTATACGTAATTAGATAGATGATCAGAGTGGAGTCATACAAGGGTATCAAGTAAATTATTGATCTACTTCTTTGCTCACATAAACTTAAATACTTACAAGTTAATATATGCTATAAAAAAGGAACGCTAATTGCCATCCATAAGTTAAAATCTAAAAAATAAAAATGTTTTGAAAAGCGTTAAGTATTCTCTGAAATAATGAGTGTCTCGCGTTAAATAGATCACCCTGAATAAATTATACTTCAGGTTAATATAATCATGATTTGATGGAATAAAATACGCAATATACATGCAGTACCTACACTGTTTAAGTGCATGTATAACTATGTAAATATAATAAACGTATATAGTATACCTATATGGCTATTTTCATCGTGTATTATTCATTCATGGTGTACGAACCATTGACGGTATAGAACATCATACAATAAGGTATAGGAAAAAACACACGTAAGCATATCCAAATGAAATTTTCACGTATAGGGGTAACCTAATCAAATCAAATGCAGAGAGAATCGGCCTTGACATTTTGACGTCTAAAAATGGAACGAATGAACGAGAGCTTTATATATATATATATATTATATATTTATATAGATATATATTATGTCGCACACGACTATACTCGCTTTCGTATGTACACGTGTTACGTGTAAGTAGAAGTTAATTATTTACGAAATGCAGTGAACTAACTGCAACACTCTGACAGAGCAGGGTGGGAGATTTCAATGCAGTTATAAGCGCATGTACGCGCACGCGCACTACAAAAATGCACACCGAGCGTTCGTTTTATCGAATTTGTACAAGGTCAGAAGAGCTCACACGACAATATTGGACGGCATGTCGCTTTTCGAATTCGAATACCATACTAATTAGCTGATAAGTATTTAAATTAAAACGATACGTATATATTATTATATGTTGTTGTAAAATATTAATAGTATATATCATAATATT